AGGTAGGTAGGTAGGTAGGTAGGTAGGTAGGTATAGGTAGGTAGGTATAGGTAGGTAGGTAGGTAGGTAGGTAGGTAGGTAGGTAGGTAGGTAGGTAGGTAGGTAGAGGTAGGTGGAGGTAGGTAGAGGTACAGTACATAGGTAGAGGCTAGAGGTATATAGGTAGAGGTAGGTAGAGGTAGGTTAGCAGGGGTAGGCAGAGGTAGGTAGAGGCAGGTGGAGGTAGGTAGGGTTAGGTAGGGTTAGGTAGGGGTAGGTAGGGCTAGGTAGGGTTAGGTAGGGTTAGGTAGGGTTGGGTGGGGTTGGGTAGGGTTGGGTAGGGTTGGGCGGGGTTAGGTAGGGTTGAGTAGGGTTGGGTAGGTTTGGGTAGGGTAGGTAGGGTAACTTAGGGTAAGGTAGGGTAAGGCAGGGTAAGGTAAGGTTAGGTAAGGTAGGTAGGTAGGTGGGGGGGGCTTAGGAAGAAATCTTGAACTGCTTTTTGGAGGAAACAATCGCCCCACGTCTTTGTCTTGGGACGCACTTCTTTGATTCCAATGGTTCTCGCGGTGACCCCACTTGGTATGATAATGGCCTCAAGTGATCGAAGGCAGTGAAACAAGAAATACAAGTAAAGTAAACAAGGTGTCTTCCGCAATCCAGTCGATTGGATTCTATTGGTGTATACTGTAATATAAGTTTACATATATAATTTTACATACTTTACTACCAATGTCAATAATGTGGCTCAGCTTTCTTGTCAATCCAATCCAGGCGTTTTCACCCTTCGTCAGGAGTCCACGGACTCAACACAGCAGGTATTTTAAACGCTGTGCTCGAAAAGAACGTGTGTCTTCAAACCTTTCATACTTGACTGTTTGGCATCACAGCCTCACGCAAATCAAAGCTGTCGCCCGAAGGAATCTGCAGGTTCTTTAGCTCCTGACATGAGTACAGACAGGATTGTTTCAGTGTGGTGCAATTGGAAGATGTTCACCAACGGTGCGATGACCTCTGGTTGCCTACTGCTGAGGCAACACAACCATACCCTACCATTGGTACCTCTAATTGAACTAACATGAACCAACTGTCCTTTCTGCTTCGATCGACAAGAGACACAACTCGATCAGTCGGACTCCTTACCGGACTTTGATCGGTCGAACGTGTGGAATCAAAGCAGCAAAGATGGGGCACACCAAGCAAATGCCTCAAAAAATGAGCTGGCAACCTGTCCCAAAAATCATTTCCTCCTCACCCACTGGAAAGCAACAAACGTTGGGACTCAACTCCCGCTGAGAGACATTGTTACTAGTAGCGATCAAAGACATTCTAAAAAGCTTCTTGTTGTTGCAGGTGCAACGATTCCCAAGGAAGCTTCTACCCTAAACCCTACAAAAATAATCCTTATGTCTATCATTCTCTATCTTCCACCAAGAAAAGTCTACACCTGACGACCGCATACACAACCTCCACACAAGCCAAAGTGATCAGTGTCGGCCTCGGTGAACCGTTAGCCAGTTCTGCCCCATTCGCTCAAATTCACTAGCTGAGAAAGCAAACAACCTGGAACCAATGTGAGCACGCGAATCAGGCCATTACGTGAAGTAACGCCCATCTTTAACAAAGCACATGCAAGGCAGTGACCCAAAGAACAACGCAACACTGCAACCTCACCCCCTTTTTGCTGCACTCCTTTACTTTTCTCTGATTTTCACCCCGGTCTTGATCTCGAAGCATGACATCTGTGGCAATCCCCGCCGGTCCTTGAGCCACGCGTCCACAATATCGTTTCGGTAGACCCCAGTGAATGGCCTCGCCATGTTTGAGTCTTTTTGGATGCTCAGGATATACCGATGTTCCAGTCTTTTTGGCATGACGGGTCGGGTGACCTCGAGGACGTGATGAGCGTTCCAATGCGACCGCGACCGGGATGAGCGTCCGCCGCACCGGCTGGGCTCCTGACCCGTAGTAGGAGATGGACGCTGCAGAGAGGAAGACCTTGGCTCGAACACCGGATGCGACGCCTGCGGCCGGTGCGGCCGGTGCAGGGGAGTGCGCGGGTACCTCTCAAGCAGCATCGCCTGCACGCTCCTGGCCTTGACTTCTGGCTCTGCAGTGTGAGACTAACTACAGTGTGAGATCTTTGGGAGGGCCCTCGTCTATCCCTTTCTCCTGGCAACCAGTTAAATATGTAAAAATCCATTGTCTATACTGTCCTACCAATCATGGAAGTGGAACATATACCTGAGGAACAGTACCCGCACAAACTGAGTCCGATCCAATTCCGTAATTGTTGGAAGGAAGATGAATAATGGTATGTCTATGCATGTCTTTATTAACTCCTTGGTTCTTTCCTCTTAAGGTCTGCACATCACCAGTGAGGTTGATGATGTCTTGCCGAATCGTCGACACTGTCTCGCGCCTCGTTGAAGCAGGGTCTCAAGGACATGAGAAGGACTAGCTGCGGCACCATCGCAACATGTCTACCATCTGAGTCTCAAGCCATCGCACTCCTTCATCTTTCAGACCAACAGTGAGGATATCAGCACGCCCCAATCTCTCCTGTCTTCGCTTCTTGGTCTCTGATGTGACTCAAGAACGTGAGCCTACTCTGTAGATGGAACAGCTACTCCGTACATCTAGAACCACAACAGGACCGACAGCTGCACAAACTGATTGACACTGACACAGCACGTATTTCCATCTATACTAGTATCTGTAGCAAAGATCTGTTGAGGTTGGAGAAAAGAACAAGACTTGGCCGCATCCAAATCTGTATTCCCAACTGATTACCAACTGTTGAAAAACAAGAAAACCATATACCCTTGATAGGATAGCGCCACCAAACGCCACCAAACGCCACCATTTCACGGAAAACCCAATTGCACGGATCCTCCACATGTTTTCCCCCGATGAGTCCGAGGCGTCATCCGGATCCGTCGAGTCGTCTCACGTTGGAAGCGCTTGGAGCGAAACGTCAACAGCAATGCACCAAGTGAACGCGGGAGCTGGGAAACCGGGTTTCCCTGATCTTTCGGAGGCTCCGGAAACCGGGTTGGGTCCTGAAGTCGGTGATTTCAGATGGGACCCCCGCTGTCCTTGGTAAGCTGGGACTCTGCCACAAGTCGGTCCTGCCATCAGACAACTGTTGGAGCTTTCAGCTTGCATCCCCTTTCCCATTCTTACTGCCAACGCCACTGTTGTCCCTAAGGTCATCAACATCCTCATCATCACCATCACCATCACCACCACCACCACCACCACCACCACCACCAGCAGCAGCAGCAGCATCATCATCATCATCATGCCCCGGATTGAGAACATGTTGCCCCGGCCTATCTGGCAGTTGATTGTCAAAACTCACACTGCCTAACAGCACCATCTCTTGACACCTCTGGCCTTCTCCGAAATCGTGTCATTGAGCTTCCTTAGCAAGCAACAGAAACTCTGCAAATGTGTCTTCAAATAAATCCGAATTAGACGATGCACATCAGCACCTCTTTGGAATTCGTTGCACGGGAAAGGACAGCAAATGAAGCCGTCCTGTCCTGTTGCCCTCTACTGTATGGATGTGATCCGGTCTTGAGAGCATCTTTTTGCGACTGGTATTGCTAAGCGTCTTTTGCAGGGCCGCCACTTGCGCTTCAACGTCCCGAAGATTGTCTTGTTTGGCCTGGCCAAACGCAGAGAAAAGTTCGCCCGGGATGCTTCTGTGGCCGGTCTACCGCCATATATTGTTTGGCAACCATGTGTGACAGCACAGAACTAGTAGGACATTGTCTGTTGGATGATTTTATTGCATCAGCACAGAAACTGGGAAAGAACATGAAAGAACATTTCATGGGCAGAAAGCAACTCAAATATACTCAAAACAATGACGCTTGTGTCAAGTCCATGACATGTGTTCCAGGTGTCAACCATTTCCACTCCCCTGTTCCTCTGTTCCTCTTTCGAGAACTGTGTGAAACGATTGGGTGGACTGTTCATCGACCCATCCGAAATCATGAAATCGACGCGTCGGCACCAAACCTGGAGCTCTGCATTGGCCTTGGCCAGCTTTTCATTCAATTCAGCCACCTGGGCCAGCGGGAAGGGTCCAGAGGTTCTGCTTGCACGCATCAACAGGAAGCCATTCAAAACCGTGAAGAACCATGACTTAGAGGATTGACACCCACAAACATTGACCACCATTTTCTGGGCCCATGGCCTTCTGCTTTTTGGGCTCCACTTCTTTTGCGACCTGAAACACGAGACCGTGGCGAGGTGCAAACATAAGCATCCATAAACACTTTAGCACAACCAGATTGACATCTATACATACATCTACTAGTACTAAGTCTTGCGAAACACATAGATCTGCAACGCTTCGAGCACACAGTCAAACCTAGCCGCCCAAACTCTCTTTCTGGGTGGCGGCTCCTTCGGCTACAGAAGTGAAAAAGTTGCCCAGCCTTGGAGTAAGTGTCCATAGCATAGGTCCACATGCACAAGCTCTTCGCTGCCTTACTCTGGTTGCCCACTGCTTCCACGGTATACTCGGGCTTTGTGACATACCTGGCGCAAGATCATGGGCATAAGTTGGCACCGGGCAAGCAAAGGATGGGATTGCAGCTGCATAGCATGGCGGAATTCCAGAGAATGTATATACACGGATGTACCATTCTGTTGCGTCTCAGGTTGCATGTATATGACTGGTTCACAGGATTTACCTGATCACGGCCTCATCTTTTCCTTGACAGCCAAAACACTCCAAGAATCCTCCAATGAATTTTCAATGTATGCAGTTCCACAAAGTCAAGGCACTTCGTCAACTGCTTCAGGACTTTCTCTGGGATGTTGTCCTGTCAGCAGTCTGATGTCCAGGTGGTCAAGAGGTGAGACTGGTGAGAGATGCAATACGACGCATCAGCGGTGAGTGGATTCGATCAAAACATCATTCGCTGATCCTACGACTGGCCCCACAAGCTACCTCTGTGTCGGTCTGTTTCGACAAATCCATGAATGCAGAATTCAGTTCTTGGACGTGCGGTGCTCAGTTAGTGAGGTGCGCGCTCACCACATAATCGCGACTGGAGTTGTTAACCTCAACTCCCTGAACGTATACGTGTGAGAACTAAGATCAGGCTCAATTTCCGAAATGACCTTCCTTCCTACCTACTGTACCTTGTCCTTGAAGTCCAGTGTTTGAACAAAGAACCAACGAATACCCAAGCAAGCAAACGACATACTCTATATATATATATATGCTACCCCCCTCCCCAAATGTCTACCTTTTTATATAGTTGATTCTATTTTGATTCCCATTTTAAGTTTGATTAACTCTATATTTATTAATATTAATTTGATTCTAGTTCAGTGCATTTTTTAGTTTCAGCTATTTTAAATCTTATACCATTCAATTTCGGTTGTTTTACAATTCTAGTTTAATTCTATTTTGATTACCAATTTAACTTTGCTTAATTCAAATTTATTTGAACTCGGTTCTAGTTTAATGCAAATGTGTTCCTAATGCAATACAAATTGAATTCTCATTTAATTATGACTTTATTCTTGAAAGAGGGTTTTGCTGGGGTGTGACTTTAAGAAAACAACCTTTAAGAAAGCAACACATAATTGACATCCTGAATGACCTATATAATTCTAATTCAATTCTAATTGAAACCAAATTCAAATCTATTTTAATCTACTGTAATTAGATGTCAACTCTATTTCAGTTATCATTCAATTCAATTTTAATGTTGTGTAACTTCCATATATAGCATATTTTAATTGGAATTCAATCCAAATTTATTTCTAGTTAATGGTTACTTCTTTTTCTATGCAGTTTATGTTTAAATCTAATATAATGTCGTTTTTTCTAATCTAGTTATGTCTTTTATGCGCTTCTAGAGAGTGTGTTTTGCTTTTAACATGAACGCTTTGTATATAATTTATGTGTTGCTTTCTCAAAGGTTGTCTTCTTAAAATGACACTCCCAGCAAAGTCCTCTCTCTAGAATAAAGTCTGCCTCAAAAGATCTTTTTTTGGTTTTCACTATGTGTGTTTTTTTGTTTTTTCAGGTGTTGAGATCCAAAAACCAAAAAACATTGCGTTTTTTGAAGGTTTATTGTACTAGAGCACTACCAAAAACAAACAATACACGTGCATTTTTTGAGTATTTGATGTTTGGTCTTACCACTGCAGACGTTTGCGCTCAGGAAGTGTTATTCAAGTTTTGAATCCAGGATTCAAGAACTTCTTTTTGAATCCTGAATCTTAAATCTTGAATCCCCTCTCGTTTGCAAACGTTTGCAAACGCTATTCCTGAATTTTGTGCTGAGTACAGTGTGGAATGAGCATTCACAAACTTCCTGAACGCAAACGTCTGCAATGGAAAAACCAAACATCAAATACTCAAAATGGGGGATATGTGTTTTATGTGTTTCCTTTCATGTGTTATTGTTTGTTGAATTGGGAAGTGCTTTTTTTGTTAGATTTTTTATAATCAAACATATGCATAAAACACTGTAAATACCAATCAAAACCAAAAGAGGTAGACATTTGGGGGGGGTACCATATATATATATATACGTATAATAAGAGACTCTTTCAAACCAGGCACCATGTATATTTCAGCCCTTTTCGCCAAAAAGGACTACAAGTGTTTGGCTCTGGCCGCTAGCCTACATAGTTGGCCATGTGAATGACCACATATCTCATCTCTGCATATATTGAAGCATTTAAGCCTTGGGCCAGCCAAGACACTGGTTAAGACCCATGGAACATACTCACCTTCCTCACCAGTTGATCCCAACTAAAACACATGGATTCACTCCATGGAGTCCAAGCAGCAGAAAAGGAAAAACGCAACTCAGTCACCACAGAAATCGCACGAACGAAGAACCTGTCGCAGCAACCCAAAAATCCGAACGGGCTCCACGTCCTTGTCGAAGGTTTTCAGATCCTGCAGGAACGTTGACCTGTTGAGCACTTTCTTCGCTGTATCCCAATCAGGCTTCTCTTGCAAGAGGACGTTCACCGCCTGCACTCACTCCCACGAAGTCGATGTATACAGAGTCAAAAGAAAGCGGAGTTGAATCCTTCGATTTGATTGGGCTCTCCATCTGGAGACTTCCATCGTCGACCACCGATCTGACTCAAGCCTCCATTGTCATCATCACTAAAGGTGGTGGCTTTGCGAAGGACTTGATCTCCTGACAGGCAACGGCGAGTTCGAATACCACTAGTTCAAGTGCTCTAAATGGAACACCTCTTAACCCTCAAGAACAAAGAACTGAACGTCACATGTCTGGCCACTCTTTTTCTGTTTCTCTCTTCAAAACGACCACTTTCTCCAAATACGACCAGCACCTGGATGTCTTTCTTGTCCAAGGAATCCAATGACTTCAAGGCACCTTGGAGAGCGTCCGGGCACCAGCGAGGAGAAGTCCGTCTCCGGAGGAGAAGTGAGGGTCACAAAGAAAAGAGGGAATGCACTGAATCTGATTGAATCAACCAGCTGAAGCACCAAAGCTTCAAGGAAAATGTCCTGAGCAAAGCACTTTCCAGGGCTGGCATTGCCTTAGCCACCGTTGATGTTCAGTCAATTGGGCTTCAAGAATACACAAGCTACGTGCATACAAGACACAATGACATGTTGTTCCCATTTTCTTGTCGTACTGCTACTGGTTTAGCCGGATTCCCGCTATTTATTCTCCCAAAAGATCCCAAAAGCGAGCACTTGTGTAACATGATGCAACATGTATCAGCATGTTCTTGTCGAAGCCAAATACAAAATCCGTCAAGCCAATCTCTCAGTGCACCGGCAACTCAAACAACACACACCCACACACACACACACACACGTCACCCTTGTGTAGACGTGTATTGAGTTTCAACCCTACCTTTTCGATTCCTTTCCAGGCTCCGATCTCATTCGGCCTGGCTCGTTCAGCCCTCCGCGGGAACGGTTCAACCGAACGACCAGAGGTGCCCGACAATGTCCAGGTCTTTCTGTGCATCATCGGCAATGGCTTTGACCTCATCGGCTTGCTTTCGCACCACCACCTGGCCCGGAAGTAGTCGATCCACGATGAATTCTACGTGAAAGAGATGATATTCACTAAGTCGATCAACCGGATCAACCTGAAAAACGAAGAGAATGATCCATTTAAAGGACTCATCCAAATGGCATTGAGATTCTTGACATAAAAACGTCTGTCTTAAATTGGTGGCTTCGCATTCGGCCCCCAAAAAAGAGAGTCTTGGGAATGGGACAGTCTTCCAAAGGACTGTTGTGCAGTTCATCAAAGCCATTCCTTTTGACTCTTGGCAATCACAACTGCCAGTCATCAGGAAAGCCACAGTCATCAATTGTTGAGAACGTATCTGTAACTTGTGCCTCTGGCTTGTGGGTGCCTTTAACATAATTGGCGTATGCATGCATATGCTGACCTGAAACATGGTCTACTTAAATGTCTGCAAGGCATACAGCTGCGAACATCTGCGAAACCTCTCTTCAGGTTTTTCTTCAGGCACACGTCATGCTGCAGCCATGTCCTGCAGCCGCACCATTGTCATAGGCGATCGCATCCCTGTCGCCTCTTCGCTCGAGACCTTCTCTTTGATGACTTCCGCCTGCACATCATCGGACGACACCCATCGGACGGTGCTTCCGGCGGATGGGACAGCACGACGGGTCCAAACACACGGGACGACGCGTGCGCGTGCGTGCTAGGTCCAAGCACGCGGGCGTTTCAGGGTGGTTTCACTCACCATAATATCCTGCGTAACCCGAGTGTCTCCATGGTCGCGCAGCCTTCTTCTGCTCTTCAGTGACCACTGGCACCAGTTCGTCCGCCTCAGGCGAGCTACCGAAGAAACTGCTGCAAATAACTTTAACCGTTTCATACTGTTTCTGACCACACGAAGAGATCAAGAGTGATGCATGTGTAGCGCTCAAAAGGGACACATTGCCTGGATCTACACCATCCGGTGCCTGTCTTATCTGTCTTATCTTAAGCAAAAAAACGTTCCGCAGTAGACTGTAGACGCAGTAGATCACGGATGGGAGGCCATTTGAAAAACTTGTAGACCGATCTTCCACGTCCGATCGATACGGTACCTCTTTGATCTTCTCAGCAATCACTGGAGCCAACTTCGTGAGCTCTTCCTGGAGGTTGTTCACAAAGGAGTTCGCCTAACACGCCCACGACCGCACGACGCTTCGACTCTCGAGACGGGTTGCCAGCACAACGCGAGGCCAAGGCATCTCAAAAGATCTCAATGGGTTCTATATGGTGAAATGGTTCGAATGTTTATCACTGTTTATCTGATAACCTTGGACGATGTTGGAGCACACCCACCCACCGCAAAAAACTCTTCAGAAAGCTACCCGACCATGGGTCCGCCAAAAGCGGCATGGAATTCAGCAAACCTTTCTTTTTCAACTTCTATTGAACGCTACCAGCAATTGTTTGATCCAGCATGATCCAGGACTCCCTGGGCGTCGTCAAAGAGGCTGGTCGCTTGCCCGCAACAGGCGTCCCATGTCTAACCGCCGCCTCGTCAATCTTGTCCACACCTGTCTGGAGCCTCTTGAGAGAGACGTCTTTCTCATCCTTCTTTTCCTGGATCATCTCCAGGTAAAGACCTGCGCAGAACAGAACCTGTCCTGACTCGAGAAGAAGTTCACCCAGGTCACACTGAACAGATCGTGAAGACTGTTGCAGTATACGCTTCATTCTTGTACAGTTGTTTGTTTCTTTTTTACAAGCTGTATCTTGATGCAGTATATCTTCTTGACATCCTTCTGCATAGATTTCAACACATCTGCAAAGCATTGCAAACCATGGGCCCGGACTGATGAGGTCTAAGTAGGACTTTGGGGTGACATAGACCTTTCGCCTACGATGGCACAGGAAAGAGTCATGACACAGCCTAGAGGTGCGGCGGAGCAAGGAGCAAAAACGAATGATATCAGTCTACAATGATTTATCAATATTGATTCGTGTATATATATATATGAGATTGAAGCTATGATGTCCTAATTGTTGCTATTCAAGCAAACCAAATTCCAAAGAGATCTGGAATTCGATTCTCAACTGACTTGCCTCAGTCGATCCTCAAAGATAGCAGAGGTTCGAATCACTTCTTGGTGCACAAAGCAGCACGCCTGCCGCCGAATTTGGAAAGCGTCATGCGGCTTGGGAAGTCAGTAGTTCTCAACCGCCGAGGGATACGATACGTATTCTGAAGCAGTGCAAGGCAATCTAGTGTTCCTTGTTCCTTGATATGTAACTAGCATTGATTTCAATATCAGATCATGTCGATTCATGTTAATACCTGATTCCTTGAACATCCGCGGTCTTTTCACGAACTGCAAAGCAAACAACCAAACAACTCTTCAGCCAACGACTTAAGACCCGTGCCTTGGCAACGGAATCCCTGACCTCATCGCTAATGCCTTGCATTCCAGAGAGCCTGCCATCGCGTCGGGGCGCACGAGTGATATCCGGCAAATACTCCTCGCAAACCACCATGTACCATGATTAGCAGTGGCTTAGGAGATGATTGAAACCCTAAAGGTTGGCAGGATGATCTCCTTGGCAGTCTTGATCTCTTCACCGAGCAAGAAATCGCTCATGTTTGCTCTGTGCTCTTCCAATCCATGCCAGAAGCACTGTCTGGCAGAGACACCAAGCAAGGCCTTGCCAAACAACGGACATGACCAAGTGGAAGTGAAACCATTGATCATCTGACTGGTCTGACAATGGCCAAAGTCTTTTTCACCATCAGTCAACACAATCATGCAACCGTTCTCATTCACCAGGTCTTTTTCACCAGGGACGCACCTCCTTCTTTTCATAGGGTGTTTCTCCCAAAAAAATGCCAGGGTGTGCATCTAACACGGCAAACACTCACAAGGCTCTCGGATGAAATGGCGTTTTGCGATCTGCAAACCTCGTCCGGCCACGGAAGGAACCAGTCGATGGTGCAGCAATTCACCAGGGCAGGGAACATCCGCATGCGGACCCTGAGGGTGTCAGAAAATCCGAAGGCGTCAAGGACTCAAGAGGACATGACTCAGTATTGTTTTGATTGCATAAGACTACCCTCCTCACTTCTACGAAGCAGCTTTTCTAGCTCCGAATCCGTTTTAGACAAACGATCCAATTCCAAAATGAGAGTCTCGTAAACTTCTTTAGCAATATTCTTGACGTGCTAGACTGTTAGACTATTTAACTGCATTCGATGCGCATGTTCGCCGGGGTCGCCAAGTATCTTACTAAACCCTCATCGGAAGTATCTTGGGACTTTCAGACTTGGGATTGGTGTCTTTTGTTGTGGAAGTCAAACCGAGGGAGGGAAGAAACCCTGCACACGGACGGGGGCATCATTGGCATCAAGAGATTGTCGCAGTAAGGACACACCGCCATTGGATGCCATTGGACACTGAGGTCTCTAGCCGTTTTAGCACCAACAAACAGCAAAGAAATGCAAACAGAAATCCGAACGAACGGGGCACTGTGCACAGGACACTTGTCTTGACAGTCGGTATTGCGTGAAAAAGACAAGCTGCTAAGCTGTCCGTCCTCACTGCTGGGTTTCGAAATGAATGTGCTGGATCATGGAGAGTGTTTCGCCCCCAAAGAATGCAAAAGAACCTATTTATGACGATGGTGTTCCTGTAGATTTTGTCAGCTTCCCTCATTCCATTCCATTCACAACACAAATTAGCGAACTGACCATCCGCTGGGCTGGGACTGCTACCGCAAGGCTGAACCCACTGGAGACATGGTGAGGACCTCAGAACGTTGAATCAGGTGGCCTAGCTTGAGCTGAACTGGACTCCGACCAATCAACCTATAATGATGCTCTAGAATCAGAGGTCTCAGGATTCTTCAATACTTTGCGGGAACCCTGAACCAGGCAAAAATGACCGCAACTTTCGCCTTCTGAAGTGGTTCCCCTCTGGAAACCTGCTTTTGACAAGCAAAACCTTGCCTGGAACGTTTGAGAGCCAGCAAGCCCCGAACGTGTTGCGAGCACTGCGAAATCTGCGAACGACCCAAGTCCTGTGACTTCGACTTCGCGCCCGCTGACGTCGTCTCCGAAAAGCGTCCGCTGATGTTGTCTCCTGCTTTTGCCCCCTACGCCCCCTAGTAGCTTCTTGTTACTAAGAAGCGTCCTTGTTACTACTAGTGAGGCACTTGTTACTAAAAGCGATGCACTTGTTCCTAGTAGCTTCTTGTTACTAGTAGTAAGAATGCCCCTAGTAGCGATGCCAGGAGCCCCGATCGTGGCGTCCTTGCTCCTAGTAGCGAGGCCCTTTGCTCCTAGTAGCGTCCTCTCCTGCTTTTGGCCCGATCTGAAAAGCCGATCCGCCGACGAGTTTTTTCGCACTGCGTTCAGCGCCTCGACTAGACTAGCGCCACCTGCTGATCCAACATTGGGGGAATAGCGGCTGTAGCGTTTGTTACACAAGCATGGCATGGCCTCAAGCAATTGCAATGAATTCATCCCATATTCGCGCCGATCGATACGAATACGACAGCGTTTCAGAATGTGTTGGATCAAATTGTGAATCCGGCAGCTACATTCAGCACACAATGCGTCTGCGAGTCAAAAGCAACTTATGACATGGCAAGTAGTTTCGTAGCTTCGTCGCAGATTCATCGATCGGTTTGGGATCTAACCACCTTTTCGATCAGGTGCCCCTTCCATTTCTGGATCTGAGTCGTGTCAGTGTCAGGCAAAAAGACTTCGTAAGCCCACCCTAAGCCCTTGACAATGTGCAAGTTCTCCCGCACTGACTCCACAAAGAACTGCCATACTGCATCTTTGGCCTTGAATGATGGACTGATCACGCGGGTGTGGACTAGGTCCCCGACGTGAGGATACGTGTTCCCTCATGTGTTGCTCAGCCGCTCAAGCCAAAATCGAGGACTCGACAAGATTGATTTCGACTTGAAAGAATCTCAACCCTGCAAGATTGGTACAGCGAGTGAGCTGACTTCCTTCGCTAGATTTGTGAGGTGTCCTGGAGTCGGAGGGTCAACAGGCAATAAGTGTAACAAAAGCACACAAAATATATCCCGTGTGGAATTATAGACCGGTGTAGCTCAAGCTCCCAGATTCTATTAGAGGATCTTCGGCAGGGGATCAACAAAGATACCGTTGAAGATGGTCTTCTGGGCTTCCACGCCTCACTCTGACCACATTCTTTCGCACGTGGCCTCGAAGGAGAGGTGGGGCCACGGAAGCTGACGTGGTGTTCATTTCTCTCAGAATCAGAGTTTGGACAGATTTGGCTTGATTTCGATCGCAAATGATAGGCAAACAAACATCATCGAACAAATCATTACGTTCTAGGATCTCTTTTTAAGGCAATCTCTGACCCATATGACTGATGCACCGCATCAACTTCAGTCTCTGGGTGTTGTTCTTTTTTTTGACCCTCTTTCGGATCTTCGCACCTGGCAGCCACCGGGCCAAATTGAAGAGACCGCAAACTGGGCAGAAGTGCCCCATCCAAGCTGCAGTTGGTTCCGATGGACAGCTCACGCAGCTTGGGGAAGCTTTGCCCCTCAAAGCTCTGCTTGAAGCTATCACCAATGGTCAAAGATCGTAGTTCCAATCGATCGCCCAACAGCTGATCAAAGCAATGGCCAAAGCTCAAGCGCTGAAGATAGGGTAAGAGCAAATGCTCGATGGGCTGATCAAAATCATCTCCAAAGGTTAAGTTCTGAAGGCTTGATGGCAACGCCTCAATCCTCTGATTAAAAGCATCTCCAAAGGTCAGTGTCTCCAAGTGAGGAAGCCTTGATGTCAACTCGAAGGCTTGGTCGAAGGAGTCGCCCAAAGCCAGACTGCGAAGACCCAAAGGAAGGCATACACCATCCATCTTTTGGTTGAAATAAAATCCAAATGTCAGGCACAGAAGCCCACTGGGCAGCTTCGCACGATCCAAAGGCTGATTGAAGCCTTGGCCAAAGGTCAAGCTTTCGAGACGCTCGGGCAAACTCAAACGGTCCAACGGTCTGTTGAAGTCGGCGCCAAAGGTCAAGGCCTGCAAAGCAGTTGGCAGAACAAGGTCATCCATTGATTGATTGAAGCTTACGCCAAAAGTCAGGGCCTGAAGATTTTGTGGCAAAGAAACACCTTCCAGAGAGTGGTCAAAGTCATGCCCAAATGTCAATGTCAAAATGCCACTTGGCCAATTCATATCCAGCACAGACTGGTTGAAGTCATCTCCAAACGTTAAGCTGTGTAAGCTTCTGGGCAGGATCACATTTTCCAGACTTTGATTAAATTGCAGTTCTTGCAGGCCTTGGGGCAAAGTCACGTTCTCCAAGCTATGGTTTAGATACATTCCAAATGTCAAGGAACGAAGACTTCTTGGCAAGGATACTGACTCCAAACTCTGGACGAAGTCGTCTCCAAAGGTTAAAACCTCAAGGCCTTCTGGCAAGCTGACACCCTCAAGGCGTTGATTGAATCGATCTCCAAAGATCAAGACTTCAAGGGCACGGGGAAGCTCCGCAGTCAAAGGCTGATTGAAATCCTCACCAAATCTCAAGCTCTTGAGGTTGCTTGGGAAGTGTATACTCTCCAAGCTCTGATTGAAGGCCTCTCCAAGAGTCAAACTCTGCAAATTCTTCGGAAGACTCACGTTTTGCAAGCTGCGATTAAAAAAGAGGCCAAACGACAATTCTTCAAGGGCATTCGGCAGAACAACACCATCAAGCCGCTCGTTGAAACGATCGCCAAACGTTAGCGTTCGAAGGTTAGCTGGCAGCCTTACATTCTCCAAGCAGTTGTTGAAACAGCGCCCAAACGTCAAGCGCTTCAGCTTGCATGGCAGAAGCACCTTTTCCATTGGGTGATTGAAGTGCTCTCCAAAGGTCAAAGTTTCAAGGTCATTCGGCAAATCAATGTCGTCCAAACTCTCATTGAAGGCATGTCCAAAAGTCAAGCTCTTCAGGTTGTCTGGGAGTGAAACCTCTGGGTTTCAGGCAAGAAAGATCGGCCGTTTAGTACATTATGGTTAATGAAAATATGTTAAATGTTATATACTTACATGCAGCATGTCAAAGATTTCAGACTCTCAGACTGACAAAAGTCTTCGGGTTTGCACAAAAGGTCTCCCCAACGAACGCTGACGCTTACCTGCCCGGACACATGGTGCAAGTCTTCGCTGAAGACATCTCCAAAGGTCAGGGTGGACAAACTGCGTGGAAGCGTCGCAGTTTCCAAAGCATGCACTGAACAGCGGTCATAGAATATACTTGAAACGCCTGGCGGCCAGGCGTTTCATTGCGCATCCTCCAAATGCATTGACTTTTTGTTGGAGCCAGCAACTCCAACAAGACTTTTGACCAAGAACCATCATATATTAAGTTTGCAGTTTGCTGTTGAGACAATTCGTCATACAATATGATACAATATGATACAATTACTCTGTGGCAACTCAGGTCCCATGAGGCGCCTGACCTTGATTGGGGCACTCACAAAGGGTATAGATAGAACATGATCGAAGATGGAATTTGTTGCTTTTGGGATGTTCCCAAAGTCATTCTGCTGCTTGCTTCATGGTAACCCTCATGAAGATCAGAGCCAAACTGACCAAACCCTTGAGATTTCTCAGAGACCTTCAATGATTCAAAAGGCTTCGTCCAACCGAGTGCCATGTCTCTGTCGCTTGGTGAAAACGACACTGTGAACCCCCCAAATGATCCTTCAGGCCCTGAAGAGGCCTCGCAGGGGTTGCTCCTGGTGGCGCAGAAATGGGCTCCAGCAAAACATTCATGTTGGATCGATCGAAGACCTGATGTTTTGAAGGACCTGAAGATGCGAAAGAACCAATTCTTGCTTGTCTTTGTTGTAAATGCACTGGTGCCCCCAACAAATCATCATCGCCGACCTCCCCAACGATAGGAGCAGGGATGAGCAGGCGGACAGAAAATGTCCAAGAGGAAGAGCACAAAAATCAAGATATGCAAACATGCAAGCATGCAAGCATCATCCAGAAGCCCTTGTCCTTGTGAGAAGCCCCCATCAAGACCTTGCAAGCCTCCCACCTGGATTTTGAGTGGCGACCAAAAACACCTGTGGGTGTGTGGGGGGGAACCAAGAACCATTGCAAAAGGCCAGCCCAGTTTGCCAGGCTGTTCGGATGAAAGCATATGAAACCAGGCCGTATGAAAGCTGAAGGTTCCTGAGCCCTTGGCAGGTTTATGCTCTTGTAGAGGTAGGACAGGCTGGACATTTCTGTGATACCTTGCTCTCTCAGTGTCTTCTTTGGGCAAATCTCCTTATCCTGGAGCACCAGCATCAGCACTGCGCCCTCTTTGTGAGGCAGTTGCTCAGAAAGCAAGTCCATCAACTCAATGCCTGTCATGCAGTCCTGCACCCTGCATCTGAAGTCATGACCATCCAGTCCAGAAAGTCGCAGCTCAAAGGCTGGTCCGAACTCTGCAGCTGAAATCTGCTCAAAGACTCTTTTCATGGCTCACCGGATGGCTCAAATCCTGGCCGGAACTTCCCTCACTTTCCTGGCGGACTTCTCGGATGATTTCTAGTCCTAGTCAGGTTTTGATTGAAATCAAACACCCCATCACCATGCACCACCTAATTACTATTTCTATCTATGTCTTATCATTTCTTGGGGTGTTCTATGCCTTCTACCCTAAACCCCTCAACTCTTGCGGCTTGAGCCAGGCATCGGTTTCAACACACGAGCACAATTCGGGGCTCCATCAGCTATTACAGCGAAAGGGTCGACCGTGTGTAAAAACCTTGCGCATGGGAAGGGAATTGGTGGATGAGGTTAAACCAAACCCTCCAACCATTTGTTGAGCCAAGTTCGGCCCAGTTCGGCCAGTCTTTTTGCCTATCGCATTCATCAGATCTGTGTTGCCTCGGCGTCTCGAAACACCGTCAGTGTTGCCTCGGTTTCTACGAGGACCCGTTCAGTAGCGACCAGCACACCCGCCGTAGGTGCCATTGTTGAGGGAGCCAAAGCCGCCAAAGCCACCTGGTGCTGCATACATCTGAGAAGCCATGAGGGAGTTCTGAGAAGCTGGACAGGGCGTCTGGCCCATTTGATATGGCATTTGGGCTTGGGCTTGTGGGTATCCTTGGTATCCATTGCCTTGGAAGCCCTGGCCGCCCTGGTATGCTTGGTTCGCCTGATACTGGTAACCCTGGCTGGTCGGGTATTGATTGCCTTGATAACCCTGGTAGCTTTGGCTTGCCTGGCACTGATTGGCCTGGGCTTGATTTGCCTGGTAGCCGTGGTAGGGCTGATTCGCCATGTATTGCTGGTTTGTGCCGTAACCCGGATAGCTTTGGTTGGGCTGATATCCTTGGTATTGCTGATTTGCTGGGTATTGTTGATTTGCTTGGTACTGTTGATTTGCTTGGAGCTGTTGAGCCTGGTACTGTTGGTTTGGGTATTGTTGTTGTGCCTGGAAATCCTGAAAGCCCTGGCAAGGCTGGTTGGCCTCATTCCAACCGTTCTGAGGTACATTTTGAGAGTTGCTTCCACAAGCTGCGCTCATCGTGGCATCTGGAAAGGGAGCCTTGCGCTTGGAGGGCTTCCGGAAATCCTCATCATCAGAATCGTGTGACACACCACAGCAGGTGTTGATGTCTAACCACGAGCTGAGCGAGGTAAAAGGACTGAGCCAGGTGGTGGGTTGTGGTGGAGGAGTCCAAAGCTGTTGCAAATCCTGGGTCCATTCCACTACCTCAGCCACCACACAGGAGGTGTCATCCTTTTTGCCACCTCTCCCAATGGGCGCTTCGGCCAAGACACCGTTGGGCAAGGGCCTGGTCTTTGCATGACACTGCTCAACGATGCGCTGGGCCAAGGATTTCAGTGCTGTTTCTGGATACCCAGAAGCTGCCTGACCTGGCGGCAGCATGGTATTGGCCAAGTCGAGAATCTCATCCAAGAAGAGGTTGTCAAAGACCCCATCGCTGCCCATGATCACAATGTCTCCCTCATAGGCAGAGACGCAATTCACTGCGCTGCCCCTTTCGATGACCTCAATGGTCAACTCTTCGTTGAAGTTGGGATCGATTCGATCATCTACCCTGGCCAGTTGCAAGGGAGTCTGCGCATGGCCATCAATTCGTTGCATCTCCGTGTGGCAAACCAATTCCAAGGGCCCCCGTGGCCCCTTCACTCGTCGTAAAACCACGAGCTCACAATCTCCCACGGTGATGATCGCAATCATGGGATGTAACTTCCCATGAATTCCTGGTTGTCAACTCACGAACGAAACATGCTAGGACCTGCGGGTGAAAAAGTCATACGGTTGTTTTAAAGGTTGAAAACAAACAATGAAACAATAACATCCTGTAAAACATCCTGAAACTGGAGAAATCATGAAAAAGCACTTTTTCAACCCAGATGCGTGTTGAATTGTCCATCACCGCCAAGACCACCGTCAACGATCCCAAACTCTCCGTGGCCTCAAAGGCCCGGCGTAGCATGGACACGGGACCGCGATAGGTATCCGCGGCGGATAACTTGGCTCCTGGGATCAGCTGATGCATCCCCAATTGTTCTACCACCTGCAGCAGTTCATTGGGCAGCATCGAAGCATCAATGCCGAAATCCTCAATTTGTGAGACTCCATCCGCCACACCTAAGACCAACGGAACGGTCAAACAGGCATCGGCGTCCTTGTGACCCTTCTGAGCTTTCACGGGATGTGTCCTTTGGTAAGAACATCCGTTGAAGCAAAGAGGCTTGTTCTTGTGGTAAGCCTCTGCTAATTGCTGCTCCCTTCGCTTGAATTCATCCAAATTCTTTCTTTGTCTCTCAGCACCCACCAAGAAGGTAGGTGATCGAAGCATTCCATCAGCCATGGTGGCCGACACAAATATTCAACAAAACCACTCTTGGCTCCACCTGTGTATTGTTTCTGACTCCGTTGCTTTGTGTGTCGTAGGTAGTGGTTTCAAGATTCAAGTCTGAGATGCTATTCTTAGTATATCCCAGCTCATGACAGGTAGGTACTTGCATGCCAGGGATCTAATCAATTTTGAGCCAGGATCTTCGTGAAATGCACTCACAGAGCATGAGCAACGGTCACAATCATGGCTGGTTCACGGGGCAATCACACTCAGCTTCGGGACCGTGTATCTGCAATGACCCGGTCGATCTCATCATTCGGGAAGAGGTTTGGCACCTGCCGACCATCACACCGTAAAAATAAGTCGTTTTTGTGAAAAAAAAATCTGCAAGTACATCCTTCCATTTTACATTATATATATATATGTATGTTTATATGTATATCTTCCGCTCGGGACTTGTTTGCTTCGTCAGTACGTTTTGCTGTCTGATACAAGGTTGCACTGTTACACCCCATCAAATGTATGAATCTGCAACAGAATCTGCTTGGAAACCAACATGTTCAAATCTATAATGTGCGTGTTGCAGCACTGCAGCAGAAAGAAAATGCCAAAACGATCCAAAAAGGTGTAGGTTGCCAGCACACAAATCTAGAGCCATGTTGGTTTGGTGTCCAGGGGTCCATGGATCTTGATGCGCCAGTTGATGAAACAATGAAACATCTTCTTGATGCACGAGCTGAGCATGCTTTGCTCCAGTTGTAGGAACACCTTGTTTTTCATCACCTTACTACCCTAAGGATCCATGCTGTCAGCCATCCGAGGTGTAACAGTAAGCCCCTGTCAGCCATCAACCCTGCCCCTTCGACCCGACCCGCGGACGGCGCCGCAGATCGCCTCGCCAGCGTTGAGGATGTTGTTGATGTCCTGGAAGCGACGGGAGCGACGAGGGAAACGCCAGGATGAGCGAAAGGCGCCGCAGAAGGGACCCGCGCCAGGGACCCGCAGAAAGGGCGAGTCCGCCGTGTTCGAAGCCGTTTGGTCACCAAGGTTGCCAAGGCCAATGAACACAGAGGTGTTGACCTGTTGATGTTTTTGTCTGGGGACTTCAGAATTGTATGGCCATGCATAAACCTCAAACCAAAGCATAGCAGGGACTCTTGTATGTGCTTTTCCCTGAAAGGACGTACCGTAGCATCACGGCTGCACGCAAAGTCCTCAAGGAAGGTCTCGTTGATGATCTGTGTGTCACTGAGCAAAAACATCGTTGCCTGAAGACACCGCTGGAGTCGCTCAAAGTCAAGCAAGTGTGACGAGAATTTCTTTGAGGCGCTGTTGAGTCTCTCTGTATCTGTAGAGAGACTTTAACGATGCGCAGGATCACTGATGGTGTCACTGTTGAGGTCACCAAATGAGCTCTGCATGGGCGTACATGAAGCTAATGTATTTGATATGTTCAGCCGAATGTGCCTTCCCCCCTTCGATAGATCTCACGTGCTTGAGCTTTCTTGGATTTCAACGCTCCATACGATCCCATACTCGAGGTACGAGTAACACACTTCAGGTGCGCCTTCGCTGCCCCAGCACCTGCTGAGATCAAGAACTTCTTCTCATCTTCTCGGAAGGCATCAATTCCGTAGCCCTGTGAAAGCGGACCAAGTCTGGTCCCCGGTATGAGATCGATCGATCTGGGTGTGCTGATTGAAATGGACACCGTCGACGTCTTCACTTGCCCAAATGGACACTTCTCATTACATGAGAATACCGTAATACCATGTAATACCTGCTGTCCGTCTAGTCCTGACATGACCTGACTAGTTCCGCAGTGTCTACTCAGGTCACTCGATGCATAGAGCTGCGTGCGCCCAAGCAACCAGGGTGATCCGCCATGCATTTATGCTTACCGCAAAAATGAACAGCTTAAAACCATGATTGGCCACCTGGCCTCAGTTTCTGAAATCCTTCCGAGTACCGTCGTTTGGTGGATGAAACAAACTCATACAAACTCGACTTTGCTCCCAAAGTACATACATTGAAAAACAACTTCTAGACTACATCTCCACCGGTTCCCTGCTAGGGTCTTGACCCATGCTTACGCATGGTGAATGGTACATACCCATCATCGCCAGGCTTTCGAGGCATACTGTGTGTCGATTCACGTTGCATGTTGCCCTGCCCTCGAGAACGTGCCTTGGTCAAAGCAATGTTGAACTCACTCGTCCTTGGGCGGTACGACCAGAATTCCGAACAACAAAGATTCGTAAAGAAAGGACCAAACGTGAGGACATTGTTGAAGAATATGAGAATCTCAGAAGGATTGAGAAGGAGTGCTTGAGTGCCAAGATGACGCGATAAGGATCTTGCAATGGATCTTTTTGCCTGCGGTCTTGCTTCCTTGCTTGCCTGGCCTTGCCTGCTTCTTCGACAATGACTGAGCTCCGAACTCTGACATGCAAGCGCCTGGGCCGTCGATGGACCTCCTTCAGAAAGAGGAAACTGGCATCCTATTCTTCCTATGTCATTCATCCTATTATCTATATGACATCATTGGATCTATGAAATCTATGAAAAACAGTCTGTTCTTAAAGAAACAAAAGACCACCCTTCGAAGAGTTGGTGATTAAGTATCTTCACTCTGATGTGTTGTCAAAAGGCTGAAGGCATAGTATAGCACACGGTACGCAACTGAAGCAAGCCTTCCAAGAAAGCCGCTTCCAAATGTGTTAAGAACAATGAGCAGTCACCTCAACAAGGTTGCTGTGACCACAAACCGCCCTATTTTCTCGTCCCGATGAAGGAGACAGCGAACGACGACGTTCCCAGCATTTCAAACCAGCAAGTCATCCGATTGCCCGAGTTTTCTGCCCTAATTGCAGCAGTCAGCACCGCCACCACTTCTCTCTGGTTCTCGCCAAGCAGCAAATCTTGGCGCAGCTCGAGCGTCCACTGCCTCCCACACCCACGAGGAGGAGATTGCCACGAGGCTGCGCCAAAACCCGTGCGATGCGATTGATGTGTTCCACGCAGTCCTTTCTCCGCTCGAAGGGCTGGGTAGCGACAGATGCACGAGTTTGCGCCGACTAGTTCTTTCAAACGTTATCTAGTATATTCATTCAAGAATGAAAAACGTGGACAATTTGATGCACAAGAAGCAAGGATCGATGGGGTTTCTTGGAAGCTGACCTGGTCCTTTGTGAACCGTTCTGCCACTTTCTATCCACTTCAAGGAGTCAACGAGATGGACTTTGTCTAGATTATAGTAGATTCATGTGCTGTCAGAAGGCTGAGCCCGCGAGCAAGCTGTAACATGTCACTCCTGAAAGAAGACCAAATTCATCTGCGCGGTGTGAGAGAGGTTGTAGTCATCATTGGCGTCTTCAAGAACCTTCTGCACCTTGAAACAAGCTTATCTGAGTGGGTCCGGCCAAATCCAGAAAGCAGGATACATGTAGCATCATCAACAGCAACTCACTGTGATATAATAGGGGAGTCAGAGTGTGCACTGTCTGATGGGTTTCGGCTCTTTTGTCAATTGGTCTTAATATGCTCTTTGTGACTTCAGTATCTATTATCTATAATAATAATTAGTCACTAGTCCTCTTGCCAAGGATGTTTGAGGCTTGCTCAAAAAGCCCGACTCTTATAGCCAAACATTTGGACCATGAACAACAACACACTTGCTTGTACCATCGAATTGGATTCGATTCAAACTGGCTTCACATCGGCGATCTCAAAACACATAGACACAGTCAAGGCTAGTAGCTTCTTGTTACCAGTAGTAATGCCAGGAGCTACTAGTAGCTTCTAGCTACTAAAAAGTAGCGATGCCGATGCCCTTGTTACTAGTACAGTAGCTGGTTTTTTTCTGACCTTTTTCCTCGAAACAACTCAGTCGTTCCTGGTCGCCTTGGTCTTGTCCTTGGCTTCCTCATAGACCCGTGATTCCACTGGACGAAGGAAGTTGCACCACATCAAGGACGTCCAAATTTCAGGATCGGTGTCCATGACACGGAACCTCCAAATGACAGCAACGAGGGAACAGGATTTCAACACACGAGGTGAACAAAGCAAAGCAAAATGAACTGACCATGCAACTACTTGGCCTTGGATCTTGGTTTGGGATCATGATCAAGTGATCCCCGGAGTGTCTGGGTCTGGGTGCTTACCAATCTTACCAGTACCAGCTCCCAGTGCACCTGGATTTCAACTGTTCAGCTGCAGCCTTGTAGAACCACTCCTCCGGCACGTGAGTTGGCTTGGTGTGTGACAGGAATCGAGCCGTGCAAGTGGTTCCCCTCCGGCCATCTCTGGTTGGTTGGTGGCTTCAAGTCACCTCAAAAAAACAAACATCATTGGGAGTATATAATCCTAGGAAAGAACATACAACACCTTTAACATCCTTTAACACAAGAAGAAAATTCTGGTCCTTGGCCTGTGATAGACCCTGCCCCCCTTTCGGTCTCGCGAGCCGTCATTCGGTGCAAACTCCCTCTTTCGGTGTCATCGACGTGTCCGTCGTCCGCCGCGTAGCGAAAGAATCGCTCGTCCTTGTCAGACTTGTTGATCAACCGATCACAAAAGACTCGTGACAGCTCGTGGTACCACAGCCTGGCGGAACTTTTGGGAATGCGCCGGATCCTTTGTGCGAGAGGAAGCATCTGAATCTGGTGTTCGGTGTGTACAGTGGCCAAAAAGTTTTCTACCCGAGATTCTGGAAGTATGTAGGATGAGTTCTTCCTGCCATTCTCTGGCATCAGCATGCAGCCCTAAGAACCCTGTTTCCCCAATTGGATCGATTCCGGTTGACGCGTCTTTCGGCGAGCCGCCCTCGAGCCCTTCGAACACTTGTCGCCTCGTAAACGCTTCAGCATTTGGTACCTCACGACTGAGTGCAGGAGGCTTTCATGAGGTCTTCCACCAAAGCTCACTGTGGGATGTTTACAGCGGCAAAGTTCCAGATCGTAACCGGACCTAGTCATTTCCTTGACCCCGCAGATCGTAAGAGCCTGTTCGAAGCTGTTCCAACCTTCCCGCTGCCATATCTGCTCTTGGTCCGTGGCGTGCATCGCCTTCACCATGAGCAGACCCTGGAAGACCTGGCAACACAAATCGACTGCAACAAAGCATAGGGAGGGTGGCTGACCCCCCCCTGATCACTAGGCCTCATGATGCTCGGAAGATGCACGAAAACTCGCAGTCAGAAGATATTCAGTATATAATATATATAATTGTATATAGATAGTATACTGCAGTATACACATGTAACTACATGTAAAGATTTGGCTCGTCTCTGACCTTCAATGATGAATGAAGCACAGTGTTGAAGGCCAAACATGCTCAGAAAGACCACCCAACATCATGTTGTGCAACAAAAACCGCACACACCTGAGGAAGCACACCTCACAAACAATATCTAGCAGGCACGAGGCATAGACGCATAGATGTAGCATCCTCTGCAGGCATTTGTCACTTCAGCAGGAGTCCAGTAGCAGCAACAGTACTTTGCCAGCTACTTTTGGCAAGTAGTACTTTGGCTCCTTGCCCGCGGTCGATCTGTAACAGGTCGAACAGTATTCCAATGTCTTCGAAACACCCACCAGCTGGTCTCCCTCGGCGCCATGGCGGGATGGCGACGACCTCCCACCGCGCCTTCGAGACATCTCGCAGGTTGAAGGTATAGTGTGGCCGCGTCGGTGTGGGCAGCAACTCGTCTCCGCACCTGACCCGTGCGACGCGTCCCACCAGACGCGTCCCACCCAGAAAGACGACTGGAGACTGGAAATGGGCGACTGGACATGCGAACGGAACCTGGCAGAACATCCGGTGTATTTCGCGAGGTCGACACCGGTGAAGCAGAGTCGACACTTGCTCCGTGCATCTCAAAGCACTCTTTTCCTTTCTAGTGCTCGAGTGGAAAAACATGCAGCTTCGAGTGGCTCCCAGCGAGTGGTGCAAGGGTGACATGAAAGCATTGGGCGTTAATCCAAACTTAAATACTTTCGGGCCATTGGGCATTCACAAGGTGATTCCATGTGATTCCAGTTGTCCCCGGATTCGAGGAAGAGTTGCGGAAAGCAAGGCTTTGGCCGTCCAAAGCCTCAAACCGAGCTTTTGGGGGAGCTGGTGAGGTAGCCATAGTAGCGATGCCCTTAGCTAATTACTTCTTCTTACTAGCAGTAGTAATGCCAGGAGCTACGTTCGTTTGATCCTTTTCCTAGTAGCGATGCCCTTTGTTCCTAGAGAGCATCTAGGAACATGTCTTTGTCTCACGATGGCGACTCCTCTGTTTCAGCCTTCAGGTCTCAAACAGCTTTGAAGCTCAGCGCAGCTCAGCTGAGCGCAGCCGAGCACCTTCGCGGGTTCTGCACTGGGATCCCCCACTTGTTGTAGATATCGATGGTCGCTTGTACTGAGGCATTCGCCAAGCCTTGCACTTCGCCTCGGCCGTTTGGCGCCTGGAGACACTCTAACCAAGGGATATGTGGAGCTGCAAACCGTGAAGAACGGCTGGGCCGGTGGGCTCTTGAAGCGTCCCAGGAAGCCCGAGATGATGGAGCCGAAAATGGTGGACATGGCCTGGCCAGGAAAGCGAGTACAATCAGAGCGATGGCCTCCAACCTAATAGCGATGGCCTCCTAACCCGCATATACCACTGAAGTTGCTCTTGGCTCGTTTTGGTTTAAGGCTTGTGTATGCTTTGTGCTGCTTTCTGTACAGAAATGGTGAGTCACCTCTGTTGTCTTGGAACAACCATGTCTGCCTGAACGTTTTACGGTGTATACCATGTCTAAATAACTATAAACACTTTGATAGGGTATACCCCGTATGCGTGTCTGACAGCAAGCTTTAGGAGTTGTTACCAATGATGCTCGTCATCAGCAGCTTCCATGCACACAGTTTGAATACCATTTGGTGGCCAACTGGTGGCTCAAACTCTAAACATCTCTAAACATGTTGTAAACATGTTTTAAACATCTTTAAACTCTACCTCAATGTCTCGCCTCTTCACTGGTTGGTGGCATGCACACCACCTGCACAGAGCGGATTCTACACAGACCTGGTTGTTGCAACAACTCGAGTACGAGGCCATGCCCAAATCGTCCAGAGCGAAACTCCCAGAACCCTTCGTCGACGTTTTGACCACATCCTTCTCCTACATCGCTTTCAGCATCTTCCTGGCGTAGGGTGCAGGGTGCAGTTCGCGCCTGTGAATGCCTGGTGAAGCGCGCGGTCATCTGGTTTCGGCCACCGCCTCATGCGGTCGTCACTCCGATCATGGTCTGTAGGTCGACGAGCAATCAACACAGGCAAACATCAATCAATTCAATCTATCCATAAGCAGCACATAAAGAAAACGATCACACAAAGAACTAAACCATAAAGAAAGAAGCACCGACGCAATCATCTGCCTCAATCATTATCAACCTTTTGTTCCAAGGCCTGGTGGAGCCGCACAAAGCAACAGCGTTGTGTTCTCAATGTCCTTCAAGTCATGACGTTCTGCGGAGCATAGCAAATTCCGTGTTCCGTTTTCTATCGGACCCTTCATCATCCCATTGTTTCATATAGTTTCCATGTTTGCAAGTCCTTACCAGTGGTGAAGTCTGACATGAAAAAACACTTTGCTAATCTGCGCACTGGTTTGAAAAGCTCCGCCACCGTCGCAGCACACATGCCGTACGCACACACATTCAAGATCAAGTATGCACACCCTGAATGCCACAAACCCTGACGAACCCCAGGTGAAAAAGCGGCCTGAGTAAAACAGGATCTTCAAGAGCAAAGGAGATTTTAAAAAATAAAAACAACATATAAAATAAATAAAGAGAACCGACAAACAAGTCTGCCGAGAACTCTGCTTCCTGTTATGGAGCGACGCGCTTCCACTCCAGCAGGTGCATGGTTGAGTGTCCCCACCCACTTCCGTTCGTCGTTTTATTGGACCAGGTCAATCACTGGAAGTGGAAGAATGGCCCCCTGCTTTCGCATTTTAGCTGAAAGCCACAAGACAACCTGTGAATCCAAAGGTGTTTGCACACGCCCCCCCAAAAGGGCACAAGCTAAGGGTCCTGCAAGGCCTTAAGAAAAAACGCCAAGAGACGGATGGAAGAAAAAGTATAAAGCCGCTCACGAAAGAAAGGAGAGGTCGAAGACAAAGGCAAAAGGGAAGACCCGCAACCTGTGAGGGACTGGGCCACCTACTACCTGAGAAGCAAAGACCTCGAGAAGCAAAGAGGAAAGAAGCTAAGGTCAGGACAGGACAGGATCCACTTGAATCATGAATCCGTGGGGTGGCTTGGGCCGCTAAGTGGCCGCCCCAGCCACTTATGCCCCAGTACGACATGGCCGGTTGCTTTGGCCCGCTGCGGGCTACTTACTGTCACAACTGCACGACAGCATCCACCGGCTCCGGTCCACGGGGGGGGCACAGAGCTCGGGCTCGGACTCTCTACACTCAAAATAAGATAAAGGATGTATGCCCTGCTACAAGCCCTGACAAAACCTAGGTGATAAAGGGGCTTGAGTAAAGCAGGATCTTCAATGAGCAAGGGCTTTAAGTGTGAATGTTCCAGGTCCAAACTTCTAGTGCAAACGCTCGAAGTTCCAACACACCCGAACGACGGCTAAAACAAGGGGAGATACAAGGCGAGGTCTACAACCAATAGTGCAAGTCTGCCCAATGCCCGTCCTTCCACTCGTGCTTCTTGCGATCAAAAAAGCCCCGCTGATCCTGGAACTGCCTGCGACAAGCGAGCTGGTCGAGGCATACGCTAGCATTCTGCGTTTCATGAGCAAACATGAGCAAACCATGTCCAAAGAAGGAAAGGAATATCAAAATATAGCAGAATAGAATGGACAGGACCTGTATCTCAAGACTTAGACTGTCCAGTAGATATTTCTTGAAGTACTATATACTGTCATGTTTGTCCACTCTTCGGATGGAGATGGATGGAGTGACTTGCTGATTTGGGGATTGACTTCGGTCGATGGATCGAAGTCGGCAACAGATCGCAGGGCTCCTGAGCAACTCGATGGGAGGCTGTGCACCATACTCTTCCACCAAGGGCATGTTCACATCATCGATCAGGATCACATTCTGAGCACAAGCGACATGTGGCGACTTGGTCGGCAAGAAAGCACAGCTTTCTGATGTTCGAAAGAAACAGACTTTCAAGAAAGCATGGAGCTTCTAATGCTGCTCCTTAGTTGGAGGCATCTATCGGAAGACATTGCGTAAAGCTTTTAAAGCTGCCCTTGGAATGTCAGAGGCAAGCAGTGGAAAGACATTGAAGACAGGAATGCTATGGACCCAGGCCGTCTTGTTGACTGGTGCGCCCAACAGGGTCTTTCGCCATCTTTCGAGCTTGCTCTCAATGTTGATCTGTGTCTCCTTGGAACTATAGGAAATCTGCATACAGGAAGTTACCTAGCAGGACCTAGCAGCCATATTGGCACTTGTACAATCCAAAACAAAAAAAGAACTGCAGAATTGGCAAGGCACAAGCACGTGGATGTTCCATAGTTCTACACCCACCGGTCAAGACATACAGTCTCTGGAATTTGCAAAGCAAACATGTGCTCTGTTGGCCTGGTGGCAGCGAACTCAGATCTCTTTTTGGGCCATGTGCAGTCCAAGTCGCGTAGGCCTTCGTTTGAGCACTGAAGGTCATGTAGACCTCTAGTGCTTCAAGTTAGTGAAAGCATGGACATGCATTGGCACACTGACCCAGAAACCCCAGTGGCCGCAACGCCCACCAGTCGCACCCAGAAACCACCACCCACCGGTGCATGGTGGTGAGCATCCCATGACAGAAGACTCAACAGGTCAGGTGACTGGTCAGGTCGGTGTTATTCGCCTAGGCAACGCCCACGCTGGAACCAGCGCCCAATGCCCACCCTTCCAGCACATCGACCCATTGCAAAAAGAAACACCCGAAATACAGTGGTTTCAGAGATGGCACCAGTTACCCCAAGTGTGGTGGTTCATATGGACGCCCAGGTCGTGTGTGGTGGTTCATGGAGCTTACAGGTAACGTCTGTGCCATCTCTGAAACCGCTCATGGCCGTGGCGTCGGACCGCCGAGGGGCTGGAACCACCGAGGCGATCTCCTTCATCTTCTCCAACAAGGCCACCACGTTCACGCTCTGCACGAAACGGAGCACGGAGAGAACGGAGAACGGAGCGTGTCAGATGAGAATAAAGACCGCAAGCGGGCGGTCTGAGACCAACCCCGCATGATTTGGTTTGAGGGAAGTCTTCCAGTCCAGGATGTACGTTGCAGAACTTCGGGAAACAAACATCTCACCGTGAAGGATCCTCAACACACATACCTCCTGCCAAATCAAGCTTACTTTCTGCCTTCAACACCAGGGAACTCCTGGGAAACACCCAGGGCCCGTGACGGCCCGTGACCCAGTGGTGAGTGCTTGAATCCATCACTGCCATGGCGGCAGAATATGTTTTTCTCGACATGAAATTTGCTGGAAGAAGGAAAATGGCAACATGAACGATGAACGATGAATATCCCATGTGGACCCGCACGCTCTCTGACCTCTTGGACTCTTCTACATTTATAACATGTATCAACACTCGAAAGACTAGCTAGACACACTGAGAAACATCTTGGTTATATAGAAACTGGAAAAATGACTGCACCACTGCGGGCACCGCTAGCCTTGCCAACTCCAGAGTTGCCCGTCAAGAACACGGAGTTTTGCGTGGTCATCATGCGATCCTTTTCGGAGAAGCTGGAATTAAAACTCAGACGCGGTCCATCACAAAGTGGCAGCAATGGTGAAATTCGCCAGTTTGTTCGCAGTAGGTTCGCGCCTCTCTTTGCATCATGAGCAAACACGATAGTATGATGTGTGATCACTGAGAGATGACTGATAGGGCAGGCCAAGCTTATCAAAACATGTCAAAACCACAGGTTGCTCTCTTCACACTTCTCAAGCAACAGTTATATTAGTTATATAATGCTACTGTATATAAATGGTCGTTGTCAGTTGAAGCTGGACGACCCTTCTAGCTCTGTCTGCGCAGGAAACAATCTCCTACTTGTACTGAATCAGGTACGAGCAGGTCTTCCAATTCTTCCCACGCTTTCATGCCAACAAGCTCACCCAACACATCAGCGCACCATGATGTAGGAGAAGCGAACAGTGTCGGGGTTCGGCACCAAAAGCCTCAGAACTTCCCCGCACCAAACTCGGCTCATCCCGCCGAGCCACCCACAGAGCCACCCCATCCGTTCGTGGAACCGAAAGGTGACGCGTCCGTCCGCATCGCATTTTCGCCACAGAAAAGTTGGTGTTTTGGGGTGTGAAATGCTTGGACCACATCCCACATGGGTCTTGACTTCAGGCGACTTCAGTGGGTCTGAAGGTCAGTGGGTTGTTTTCCAGACTCTTACTGATCGTGCGGAGTAAAACAGTAAAACCAGGGGACCTTGGTTGACCACCACAGAAAATGAACGGAATGAACGCCCCGGTCCCAGGGTCAACCTACCAGGGCGACCAGGTATTCAGGTTTTGACACAGCCACATCTTCCCACCTCCCATCCACGACCTGCTTCGAACGAACGATTTTTCAACGACGAGGAAGTCGTTTGGCTCAGTCGAGGCGCTGGAAGTATGACACACCATCCTGGAAGACGAACTTCGGCACAATGTCGGTCCAGCTCTTCCATTTTGGGCCTCCCAAATGTCGATCCGGTGTGCTTTCTGAAGGTCCGGTGTTGGTCCGGGTGTTTGACCACGGGGGAATGAGCATGGATGAGTGTTTGACCACGCAGAACACCTGATCAACATGGCTGTGTAGTTTACTAGGGAGGCAATGGGAGACATCACCTGAAACTAAAGACACCTGATCAAAAGCAGACTAAACCGATTGATTGGTAAGAACCATCTGAAACAGGGCGGGTCTGAAACAGGGGCGGGATGGGGCGGGTGGGTATGTCTTCTCACCCTCTGCCAGATTCCATGTTTGCTTGACACCAAGGACTGCAACCACAAAATGCACGGCAGGTGTGGCTGTATTCCTTCGGCATGCTAAGAACCTCCAACGTGCTTCGAGCATCAAAGAGAAGCACCTTTCTTCATGCAACCCGCCTTCGTAAAAGTTGATGAAGCCATCATATGGACCTGAAGAATCCGTATCTCACTTTGGAATGCGCTCCGGCAAAAAAAATAAAAGCACGAACTGAACTACATCGATTGGACAGAAAACTTACAAGCGTCTGATATTGGACAAGAATGCTTAAATTTAAAGCATGCCCACTCAGCCACAATAGAGAGAGAGAGAGACACATGCAAATCATTCTGATTGCCCATCTTCAGGTGATCTCCAACCTAAAACCAGCCCAGTTCCCTACCTGCTTTCTGATCTTTCTGGATGCCAATCCGCTGTTCGAAGGCCGCGCCCCGTCTCGCCTCCTCCCCGAGGCATGGAGACGTTGGGGAACCAATTCTCGATCTCTCGGGCAAACCTCAGTCGCTCCGATCAGGAAAACCCGGAAACATCGGGAGTGGACGCCTCTAGTGACCTCAAAGGAAGAGGTGGATGAAGGAATATGAAACTCACATGAAACTCCATGATATTTTCTCGAAAGGTTCTTAGATGTTCTTAGTGATTGAGGTGATGGAAGGCTGTGCGCAATGGTTGGCTGCGCATTGCAATCAGCTCCTCTTCACGAGACAGGTCTCGTGTCTCACATTGGAGCAAGCTGATCGCATTGTGCACCCTGCATGCAAACTATGGTATATCATACACACAGTCAGCCACTGTATGACATACCGTGTGCAGAATTGGCTGTAGGTTGGTAGCTGTCACCTCCCAAAAGGATCCACATCATGCAGGACTGCTGGGCCAATGGCATACCTCTCGTCTTGGCATCACAACCTTGGACATGAGAACGCATCTGCAGCTGGATGGTGAAAGGTACTTGGTAGATCTTGGTAGGAGTTTCAACTCGACTCTTCAGAGCAAATGATGGGCATCCAACAAAAATCAGCCAAACCAAATGGCAGTTTCACCACCCTGTGTATCGCCAAGTGGTAGGAACCATCCTGTGTGCCTCGGTCTCCAAAGGCCGGAACGTAGCTGCAAAACCCGGGTCGGCGGTCCGGAGTCCAAGTGGCTGCCACCGATGGTCCAAGTGAAGGCAAAGCAAAAGCAGGGCTGCAGAAACTTCTCGAACTCAGCGGCCTCCAATTCCGGAGCAGCCGGCGACCGTGAAAACCGGACACGTCGAGCTGTGGAGCCGGGGGAGTGGAGCTGTTGCGGTAGCCGGACACGGATCTGAGATCGGTGCGCATATTTTTGGGGGGAAACACCCTGGAACAGGGCATAGACGTGATTATACGTGATCTAAGATCGGGATCAAGATCAGAAAACCGTCGGGATCCTTTGGTTTCTGAGCTCTCACATGTCGAAATTTTCTAGGTCTCGTCTCAACAAAAATTTCAGCACGTGTCCTGTCTCAAATAAGCACGTGTCCCTGTCACAATGATCTCACCTCCAAGGTTGAGATCTTCCGCGGCACCAGCACTGACTCTCCCTGATGGCACGTTCAGATGTGAGGGACGTGTTTTTCTCCTCCTGCGTGTGGGACGTGCACTCTGAGCAGAACGTTATCATTTCACTCTTCCCAACGTTATCATGTGAACCTATGTGAACCTTATCGTTCCTGAAGGTTTCCCTCATGTGATTTACTTGGTCTTCACTGTGACGTGATGCTGCCTTCATCGGAGGTTTTGGCAGTTGCTCATGTGTGTTGGACGATTGAGCGACCGAAGACTGGACGAGTTTCCCCCCTGAAATGCAGAAATATAGTGTCCGGTTTATTACTGTAAGGGATGGTCCGGTGTAGAGTTTGGACACTGCAAGGAATGGTCCGGGATGGTTAAAACATTGTCATTCAAAATCCATATATATATAATATATAATATATATATATATAGTCTGTTTATTAATGATTTTGTATGTTCTCAAAGGACAGGGCTTCTTGGTGATCTTGTGACTCCTCCATGTCCAACTCCATTAATTAAACCAGAAAGAATTAAATTTCGGCAATTTCTCTTATCATTTAAGAATTCATGTGGCCTGTTTATTAGCCAGGCAAATGCTATGTCCAAAGATTGCCAAATGTCCGGGGCAAATCCTCTCTTCTCCCGGCACTCAGATCACACAGCACGTCATGTCCACAGTCAGAAACGGCCTCTGCAACTTGAGCATCCTTCGAGGCACAGCTGTTCCCAGTGGCTGCCTTACTTCACAAGGTCGCTGCGGGGATAGAGCTCGATGTTTTACGCTGGCAATGCACCGCGTTCAGACCGTTTAGACCGTTTGCGTCTTCACATTGGGTATTCAATTAGGGAGACCGTTCAGACCGCAAAGGCTCAATGGATGTTGGTCTATATATGTTCCTTCTTCCAGGGGGTCTGGCTGGGGATCTTCCTATTCTAGTACACACCCATATCAAACAGAAACACATTTTACAAATAATCCTTTCTTCACCTATTTTCCATTCACTTCCAGCCTCTTCATTCATCACCGACTGGAAAAGCCGGCACAGGGAGATGACGAGCTGGGTATCCTGGAGAAAGTGTCTGGCAAACAATCCTACTATCCAATCGCTCCCTCGCAATATGTCCAAAAGCTTGGCAGTTTTAAACTTGGTGTACAGTGCACAGGAGCCACCTTCGACCTTTGGAATGTGGGCCTTTTTGCAAAACCAATTGAGACCAACAAGAGGAGATAAGAGGAGATAAGAGACAAAGAGCACCAGAGGACCATAGACGGACTAATAGAGTAGCAACTGGGTAGCTGTTTTCCACTCCTGCGTGCCCACAGGCTCAAGGCCATTCTTCCGCAGGAAGTCCAAACCTCCAGGACGTCTGGGTAGCTTTGTCTTGGAAGTAGGTAGGACCCACCACGGAAAGGACATTTCAAGAACCTCTCTAGGGTCTCCTGACAAGTCTCAGCCTGCCGTCAAAGAATTCGAACTGCCCGGGAATCGGAGCTTGGCTAAGAATCTCGGCCTCGTTGCACATGAGTGTCAAAGTAGCTCCAGATCATGTCCTTGGCCTAGAAGGACAGTGGAATCACAAGACTGATCTAAAGGTCAATGACCCGTCTCAGAGCTCTGAGATTTGTTCGATGGCAGAAAGGTGATCACCATGGCATAACACATGGCCCCCAACAACGAAGCAAAGATGCTAACAACCAACGAAGAAAAAAGAAACATGAAATGAACTTGGTCTGATATGTTGAGACTTGAGATATCTCTTAATTGCTGAACTATCAAACTGCTATTCGTATATAACTTGTGCTCTGCACTGAGTGCCTGCTTTCCCGTTCCCAGAATGCCTTCTCGGAGAAAGGTTGATCGGGCAGAGAGCTGAGCCATGTTCGAACGAAGGGCTCCCATCCCAGATCGGAGGGCGTCAAGTAGACCTCAATCAATTGAAAGTGGCACATGTTTCCGGTGTCACTGGATAGATATCCTCTATCCTGGTATCATCTGGTATCTGTCCTCTATCCGAGTCAAGTAGACCTCAATCAACCCAGGTATGGCTATGGGTCATGGCACTGGTCCGAGACCGACCGACCGGTTGACCTCCCTGGTTCGCCTCGATCCCACTGGGTCCCAGCACCATTCCACAGCGTGACACCGTGGCAGGTGAGGCTACACGCAAATCCTCCACTTCAAAGAGCATCCGCCTCGGTCGCATCTGGAAACCCCGCGGTTTGCGTGCCCGGGAGGGTTCCAGGCTCACAACTGTCAATCCATCTATCCTGTGAGCTGTTGTTCTAGCTGTTAGCTCCTGTCCTACAATCCACCAGTAAAATCAACAAAAGTCCACATGAGCTGCAGATGTGTTCAACACAGCTCCTGTGGATACATGGAGAGATCATGTGACCCATTCTTTATCGGTGGCAGAACTGGCCCAGCTTCCTCTTCCTTCTGATGAGTTGGGGCAACTGATCGACAGAGACATCACCAGAGATCAGTGATCCGATCAAACACGACCAGACCCAGCTCTCCCAGTTGGTCGAGGTCGACCCGATACGCTCCACCCTGATCCAAGACACATGGTCCAGTTCAACTTGATACGCTCGCCATTGGCCAGACCTGGGATCAGCGTTCAGTAGGTTGGAAGCACCACTCACAAAAGGGACCGAGATGAGATAGATCAAATGGTCACCTGCTTCTAATTCTTCTGCAACCTCTTCAAATACAAATATCACAGGATCTCGTCTCTCGACAGCATGCAAGCATGTATGTCCGGCAAAGTCTCCCAAATGAATTATATATTGTTGATAATTTTTGTGCGAAGTCTGCAAGGAGATTGGAATCCAGAACCTACATAGCATATATTGTTGACTGCTGTTCAAGCATTCGATGTCTTGCTGAGACCGCGACAAAGGGTCATGTTGTCATCGAGCACGGTGTTCATATTCTCGATCCAGATCGCATCCACTGGTCCATCAAAAACGGTCCATTTGTAGTCAGGGCTCTCCTGGGCCACATTTGTAGTTGACCAACCCCCTTCTTTCCAAACAAAACTGGACCTTCTCATCATCCTGAGCTCTCCAGGACATGGAAGGACATGGGTAAACCTTTTAACAGTTTTTATGAAGGCAATGCACACTATCAAATGAGCTCGAGGACAGTGCTTGGAAGTAGGACCTAGGAAAAAGAAAAATTGTTCCTTGTGGTGTTGGAAAAATGCATGTACAATTGACTTGGTAAATCAAACGCTGTATCAAGAAAAGCCTCTGCAACTTCTTCCAAGCGCAGGGCACTTGTCTTGACCGAACCAAATGTACTAAGCTGTGAAGGGTGTAGCTGTGAACCTTCCCCACCAGCTCCAATGTCACTATGAAAACGCTCAAAACCTGTTTCTCCGCAACTTTTCACCACAGCCGCTCCTCGGTCTGATAACCGCGCATGATGCGACTGCCGAGGCCATCCGTCCACTCCTGAAACCCCAAGGTTTGGAGAACACATTTGAGGATCAGTAATGAGGCATTCTTTGAATTCCTTATCTATCATCTGGGTTCACCTGGTATCTAGTGGTTTCATGAAGTTTCGACTGTTACGAGTACAGTATAGCAAGAACTGCGGCATGGGTCTGGATGTCAGTGAAAAGCACACCGGAAATTAAATCCCATCGAAAACTATAATCGTTTGAACAGAAAGAAAGAAAGAAAGAAATGAAGAAATGAAGGAAAAGGAAGTGATTTGCCGAAGCCAAGAGCTGGGAACCTGTGTGAGCTCGTTGTTCTCGCCGTACAGCTCTCCCATGGTGATACCCTGGTCAGAAGTAAGCTCTCTCCCTGGTGGACATGTCCCGAGATGACACATGCAAATTAATTGACTTCATTGACTTGTCCTGTTCAGAAAAACCGAATGACTTGCTTTGGCCAAAAATAGCTCAAGGCCAATGAACTGCCTAAGATGCCTTAGACATGTGGGTGCGCATGGAATCAATTGTAAACACATGCGGAAAAAAAAAGGAAAAAGCACCTTGGGATTGAAGCACGTATACTTTGTCTTCTGGTAACGCTCATCTGGACTGTTGTCCTCCCGCAATTGCGTGAGTGCCTGAGCAGTGACGTGGGTCCGTGGGTGGTTTTGGTAGGTGATACACAACTGCACGGTCATTAACAAAGGCACGGAGAATAGACCTTCTTGAGACATGTCTTTTCTACAAACGAGTTATTAACAACCAGACCAGAAGGGTGAAATGCCTGTCTTGATGCCACAACCTGATGTAGGGGTTGAGAATATGTCATGCATTATTATACATCTAGGCAAGGTGCATCAAGCAGTGTCTCAACAGCATTCTGCTGAAGATGCACGACTTTGTGCAGTGAGCAACTGTCATCTCCCGAAACCAAGGCTGCCACAATGGCCAAGGTCTTGTAATCAACCTTGGCATCACCACGCGTCACCCAGCGTTTCGCATCTTTTCAGAGTCAGCAGCTGGTTGGAAGCTTTATTTGCCAGGTCTTGATCAGTCTATTAACTGCAACGAATTGACTCTCCCCTGCAGGAGCATGGGCCCGGCTGCCCGGGCGACCCGACAGATTTGCCACCCAGGGTGGGCCCCACCAACATCACGCCGAAACGCACCATGAACGTCTCGAAGAGTTGGATGGTCTTGGTGACCAACTTGTCATGGACCTGCACGCAGGTCCACATTTCTCACGCAGGTCCGGTCGAAAATGCCTTCGGAAGCCCAATGAACAACCGAGCGCCGGTCCGAAATGACACCAACCTAGTAGCGATGGCCTCCAACCTAGTAGCCCAAGAAAATCCTCAAACAAATGACCGGCTTCGTTCCCATATTACTTTGACGAACAGAGCAGTTCACACGAGAAGCAGTCAAACACTCGTGGCTGTGGGTGATGTGACCATATAGCACGAGCATGTGTCACACGTCACTGTCACTGTCATCTATTTTTCATTAATTACCAATCTCATCCATTCTGATAAAAGGAAGTGTTGAAGACGATCTACAAAATCTTGCAGTTGTCGTGCGCGTGAGTGATGATGGTAACTAGTGTGGAAAAAAAGAAAGTCATCCGTGGGACGATCCAAGCATATGCTGGCTGCACTGTTGTCAAACAAAGAATCCATACATAACACGCTTATTGACTGTGACTAGTACTAGAAAAACCGCTCGACGCTCTGGAAAAAAAAAGACGCAGCAAAAGCATGTCGAGACTTGATACTACCGCCCTTGCACGAGAGCATCTGTGCCTTTTGATATCACATTCCTCCAAATCCCCCGAGAGCACGAGCTGGTGAGCAGCAAGCCCAAGGCGCCCAAGGGTAAGGGTGCCGAGAGCACGGGCGTGGGGTGTGGGTTGATGAAAATGATGCCGCTGAGCCTGGGCTTTGGGACCCGCTCACGCCCTGCAAATGGCAGCACTTGCTGAACCCTCAAAGAGTCGAAAACGCCTCATGAGGCGGGGTGTCTGCGGTGCCGCCTGCGCCGCCTGCGCCTTCGACTGTCGCAGCTGTGGCTTAAACTGTAGGCAACGTCCTTGACTTTGTGTTACAAACATGTTCTGAACGTATCCGTCACTAGCTTGTTTGGGCGCGTCTGTGCTTCGGCCTCACCCCCTTCTTCTGCCTTCTGTTCCTCTTCCTCGTTCTTCTTCTTCTTCTTCTTCTTCTTCTTCTTCTTGCTTCTTCCTTATCTTTCCTTCTTCTTCACCCATGCCATTGCCTCCTTTACATTAATGATAGCTGTTCTTCACCCATGCCATTGCATCCTTTACATCATGACAGCCCCACTCTGATTGCATCACTTGCATCCACAGCCTCCTCAAAACTTACAAGTTTCCTCATTTTTTGTCCACCCACTTTTGGTCGGTTTTCCCCAATAAATTCTGATGTTTGACCTTCCACCCCCAAACCCAATACTCACTTCGTTCGCTATTCAGATCTTCAGCCTAGCCTACGGCTGGCTTTCGTAATCTTCTGCAGAGGTCGGTCTAGGAGTCTAGGCTGCTGGGGACAGAGACAAAGGAGCTGGCTGCTGTGCGTGTTCTTAAGGTAGGTCTGATGGCACTGGTGAGGCGGACGCGCTGAACAGGCGCGGCGCGCTGAAAACCTCCCCTCTCCGCTGGGAGGTCGGTGATCCATCGGTTTTGCACCGAATTCAGTGCACCCAACTTGCACACCGGATGTGCGCGGATCCAAAAGCATCCATCAATGGGCAATGGGTCTCTAGCGCCTCTTTCCTGGGAGCAAGAACCTCCGAGATCCTTCTCAAAACCCACGTGCTGCAACTGCAACGCTTGCTTGCAGTGTGGTGGCAGTGTCCCTTTCGTTCAGTTGTCGCAAACGCAGCAACATGAAAGCCTGTGTAACTGTAACCACTGTTAATTTGATGCTTTACGCTATGCTACCTCCCAAATCACAAGACTAAATGTCTAAATGTTCACCACCCTACATTACACATCATCACACTACACTTCAATACAATTCATTATTACATTACATCTCATCACATCACTAGTGACCATACTACACTTCAACACATCAACAAACAACTGCAACACTCTTCGCTCCCTCTTCACCACATCACAAACCATCACGTCTCACATCATCGCATGACCTTTCATCATCCAGCAATTCATCAATCATGCTCCTCACACACACACACACACCACATTCCTATGGTTTACAACGACTCGTTGAAACTTCCCCTCAGCGGCTCTGCGGAGGATTACGTGGCATTCTGTATATCTAGAGCTAGTCTCATGTCATTACATACACTGTCCTTACACACATATTATGCATAATTACATCATGTGTAATATACATAAAACACAATAAACCATATTATATAACGTATCCACTCTCATCCCGCTCCATTCGTTGAGCTTCAATCTTCGCCGTCCTTGATCCCATGTTCCATGCTTCGATCCGTAAGTTCCACTCCCGGCGCGTGGCACGTGGCGCTGACTGAGCCTGTAAGCTCTGCTTTTGAAGGCCACGCTCGATCTCCACTTGCAAGGCACCTAAGTGAGCAGGTCGCACCTACGAAGTTGGTGCCCAACTTAAAACAAAAGTTGCCATTACGGAGGGGGGAAGGACTTGGGGAAGACACTCGTGGCCTTTTTCCCTGTTCTGTTGCCATGGTTCTAATATGTTCTAATGGTCTTTGGATGTCCTCATGTTCTGTCCAGTTCAGGACAACTGTACAAAAGAAAAGACCTTCAAAGCAGCAAGTTCCCAAACGTGGAACCATCAAAGCTCACCAAACTCAGGAAATCCCTCTCATCTTGGCTGCGGCACCGTAGTCATAGTATGGCACCTGATTGGCCGTTCCGGTGCCATGACAAGTGCGGCAGTTGAGCCATGCAGCCTTGGCCTCTCTTTGACACTCTCCGAGAAGTGTGTACAACAGGTGTCCCATCCCAAAGAGCTGGGAAAAGACGCAGCTCGGCGTTCTTTGCGGATCCCCCTTTCACCACGCAGGGGAGGTCACGGTCCATCTCTGCCAGTCGACTCCTGTCTGTGTGTGCGCCTCGATTCCAGGGAAGAGATCGTTCACAATGGCAAAGAAGAGTGGTAGATCATCGGACAAGAACTTAGGCACCTGGATCAGGTCATGTTCTGGTCGCGGTTCGCGGTTCCAAACAGAAAGCAGAAAGTCCCAAGCGATTGAACAACAGCAGGCCCATGTGCATTGCGTCATTGAGCATGTTTCGAACTTGCCACACGAGAAATAAACATCAAGTATCTGATAATTCTGATATTCTTGGCTCATGTGGCTGTCAGCGCAGGTCACGGCCAAACACCAGATTCGGGTAAGTGTCAAATTCCTAAGATGATGGCATTGGAATCACGCATTGCACGGATCAGAAGGATGTTCTCGTCCTGCCGAGCGCGATTGACATATGCCAAGGACATATTCGGTTCTTTTTGCTGCTGAAATCCCTTGATCACCTACTATGTTGGTGCTTTTCTGTCCACCAGGCAAAGCAAGCCCCTCACAAACTCACACAAAACCTGCGTAGATGGTCTCTTGTACTTGGAAGCACGATCATGCAGCTACGTATCTAGGTGGGAGATTACGACTTGCTGTGGTCCACAGGAAACACCTGGTGTGGGTTGCCAGCTGCTTCAGCCTGGATTCCCAAAGGCTCCAGGCAAAGAAGACTTCCATGCTTTGCGATCCCAGAATACCACACAAACATTATATAAGAAACATGACCCCTTGATTCAACGTCTTGGAACAGATTCCACCTATGAATCGATTTCAAAGCTTTCTGCCAGCCTGCCGGTCTCTCGGTCTCTCCTCGTCGGGATCCGCTCGCTTGAGACTGCCAGCCATCACCAGGACAGACCTCAGTGGTTTGTTCCACAGGGGATTGAAGGGTGGTGAAGTAATATAGAAACTAGCAGGTTTACAGCGAATGGAGATTGCGAGCAAGAAAAGCTCTTTTGGATCCTTTTGGCGTTGTTTGCGAGGTTTATGTCATGTGAAGAATCGTGCGTATAAACTGATTCACTGGAATACCATGCACTCTAACAGACAAGCGGTTGCTTCTCATGCCTGTGTCAAAGCAAAGCATCAACTGCCCCAAAAGCCAAACAAGAGCGCATGAAAAACCAAGACAAAACCAGAGCAAAACGCTCTATGACTCCAGTGATCAACAGTTCTCATGCCACCGTCCGCAAAATCTCCGGTGGTCCCCACTTCACCGCACGCATGCCGAAGTCGTAGTGATCTTGTTTCGACAGCTGCTCCTGCAGGTCTCGGTCGGGAGTCGTCAAGCTCGTACGAGCGCCGGTTGAGGTGATTGCCTAGGTAGGAGCCTCTCCGCTGCACCTAGATCTATCATGATCTATCTGGCTTGGTGTGTGGGTCATCTGGTGTGACAAGGGCTGGGCAGTACAACTCCCATCTTCCATCCCACAGATTGACATGTTTACAAACGTTGCAGAGAACACATGGATACGTATTCTTCCGAAGGCAAGGCTATCCTCATACAACATCTTCACCTAACCCCGTCGCCGGCCCCCCACTTTGTTCACTATAATCCCAGCCTCTCAACATCGGGATGTTTGATCGTTTGCACTGGTGCCTTTGGTGGAACTAGCAGTAGCAAAGAGCTATTCAACAAACATCTACTGTAGTCATCTAAGAGTTGCATTACAAGTGCAAAACCCTTGCCAGCGCAAGACATATAATGACTTAACATCTCTCTTGAATCTCTCATCTATATATATATATACTGTATATATATATTGGATTTCTTTGGACCGTCTGTTACGATTGTCACCTGTTCTCTCACCTGTTGAGTTGCATTTGGTGCTGAGATCCGTTGTTTTGCGTGAATTGAAATGCTGAGCAAAAGACACTCCATGACACTCCACTGCCTTCTCCGGTCGGAGAAAAAGGCTTAAGTTGCATAAGGCCCTCCGTCCCCTCCGCGCCGAGGAGAGTTTGTAGAGATTTGTGAACTTGCCACTGAGGACTTTGGCCTTCCCAAAACCTGGCCACAAGCCACTTGGAACATCAGCTAGGCGGCACAACGTGATCCGATCGGGGTGTTCACCCTGAAAATCCAGGGATGGTCACATCAATGTCTAGGTGCTTGGACTGTAGCGTAGGTTCTTGTGGTAGGTGATGCTTCAAAGCAAGAATGGGACCTGTACAGCGTACGGGTCCGTGTCATGATGTCTCACCACATCTATCCAAGACCTGTACATCAGTTCGTCCGCATTATTATACATATTATATATGTAAGAAGCGGTTGGTCTCATGAATAGACCCTCAATGCGTTGGGTGTTCACTCCTTCATCTATTGGAGTCGCAGGCTTTCTGCTTTCATTTCGCCTTGCTTTTGGCTTGAAAACTGATGCGCTCCAGTTGTGGCTCCAGAATGATGTCATTTGGCGTTTTTCAGTGTTGTTCAGTGGTTTTTGCAATTCTTCAACTCTAGAAGACCTAGAAGGACAAACCACAAGGGACGGGAAGGACTGTACGTCAACCAGGCCCGGATACCAATGTACGAAGTCCTGAAAAAATTATAATTTCAAACTCGAGAAGATGTCAAAGCACACACCCCTGAAGTTTAGTGAAATGACATAAACGGACCATCCGAACTCGTCATACCTCAAATCTTTCCCGCCCAAAACCCACCATTCGCAGGACAAGTCGACCATCCATTGTCAGGCCCATCCAGGCCGTTTTGAACCGGCCGCTGCCGTCCACAACGGTCGTCAAAGGCACGGGTCGATCGACCGCGATGCGTGGACTCAGAGCGATCGACAGCTCACAGAAATGTTTGGAGTGGACAGGCTCTGCAAGAGCGGAAGGTGGAAGTCTTCCAAGTTCTGATTGAAAGCACTTCCCAAGGTGAGTTCTTGTAGCCTTGGACAGCTGGCATCCAATGATTGATTGAAGCTGTCTCCGAAGACCAACTTCTCAAGCTGAGGGAAGTCGCCCAAAAAAGGGTGATCAAAATGTTGTCCAAAGGTCAAACTCTCAAGATGTGGCATGGCAAGGTCGAAGCTTTGATTGAAGTCTTGCCCCAGTGTCAAGCTTTGAAGACTGCTTGGCAGAGTTTCAGTCTTCAAACTTTGGTTGAAGAACTGGTTGAATTCCAAGGACGTCAGATTTCTGGGCAATTTGACCTTCTCCAAGCTTTGATCATAGCACCGTCCGAAGCTCAAGCTCTCCAAGGCTTCAGGAAGCCTTGCGGAGTCTAGAAGCTGATCAAAGTCGTGGCCGAAGCTCAATTTTTGAAGAGGTGCTGGGAAGTTCACCTTCTCTAGGCTCTGATTGAAGCGAAACCCTAGGTTCAGACTCACAAGGTCACCTGGGAATTCCACCTGATGCAGCGGTTGATTGAAGTCGCCCGCCAGCGTCAAGCTCTTGAGGCTCTTTGGGAAAGTGATGGAATCCAAGCTTTGGTTAAAGTCTCCAGCCAAGATCATGTTTTCCAGCGCGTCCGGAAGCTTCAGATCTTCGATGCTCTGGTTGAATTGTTTTGAGAGGACCAAACTTTGCAAAGAGCTGGGCAGCTTGATCTCTCCCGCGCTTGGTTTCAAGGTCCCTCCAAAGTTCAGAGTCTGCAAGTGTTTTGGCAGGTGAACCCCCAGCCAGCTCTGGTTGAAGTCATTTCCTAGGGTCAAGCTTTGTAATTCCTCGGGAAGCTTCACTTCCTTCAGGCTTTGATTGAAATAGTATCCCAAAGTTAAGTTTTGGAGCCCAGCTGGGAATTGGACCCTCTCCAAGGGTTGATTGAACAAGCCGGTCAGAGAGAGGCTGCAAAGACTTTGGGGGAAGTTCACCGCATTCAAGCATGAGTCAAAGCCAGGCCCTAAACTCAAGAGCTGAAGATTCGGAGGAAAATCCACCTCGTCCAGGTCGTGTTGAAAGCAAGCTCCTCAAACAAGCAAAAGCAACAATGCAAAAAGCCTGCCTGTGTTGTCACCTAATCCATCCTAATCCTGAATGTAGATGCAGAGCAGAAAAAACAGCCGATACACACGCTTGTGGGATAAGGGGCCAAGGGGTGTTTCCTTCGTTGGAGCACGCAAGCGCAAGCGTGTAACACTTAAAAGTCCATTATATATGTATCAAAAAAAAGCAAACAAAATCGGCTGCGAGGCTGACATCTGACATCTGTAATTTTAAAAATATATATATATGCATGCTGTTCCTCTCCAGCGCAGGTCTTGAACTACTTTTTTGTATTTGCATGACTCCAGCTCTGGCTGGGGATACTGCAAGGACTATCATATCCAGAGATGTGTCCAAGTCCAACCTGTGGACCCGGCCTATGTCCCACACTACACGTGTCACTTTCTGCGCAAATACTGACTGTAAGGGTTTTTTGGGCTGGTGTGTCGGTGTGTCAAGCCCCTTCAGCAAAGCTTCCAAACTTCAGGGACTGCAGCATCACTGGAAAAGCGATTTCCTTGAGGCTCTGATTGAAGTCCTTATTGACGGTGAACCAAGCGAAACCAAACAAAGATACCCATCCCGGCCTACAGTACTTACTACTTTGTTCCATTTCAGGAAACTGGAAAATTGCCAAAATGCTGCCAATATGTGCCCAGAGTCATGTCCAAAGGATAGACTCTTGAGATTTTCAGGAAAAGTGACGTCCTCTAAGGGGTGATTGAAGCAAAATCCGAAGCCCAAGTGCTGCAAGCTGTTCGGAAAGTTGACGCAAGCAAGACTTTGATCAAAGCTATATCCGAAGGTGATGCTTAGAAGGCTTTCTGGTAGATCCACACATGCTAGACTATGGTTGAAGTCCCACCCAAAGCTCAAATGCTGAAGGCGCTTCGGCCAGCTCACACGCTCTAAGTCTTGATTGAAGCATAAACCAAAGGACAGCTCTCGCAGGGCATCTGGAAATCGAACCAAGTCCAAGTTCTGGTCGAATGAATCTCCCAGCGACAGACGTTCCAAAGCATTTGGGAACGTTAGCCTTTCAATGCTCTCATCGAAGCGATCTCCGAAACTCAACACCTGCGGCCAGCAAAGCTCGCGCTTCTTTAGAGATGGAACCCGTTCCCAAAAAGTGGTTGTAATATATTGTAATATGTTATAGTGATGTGTAATTTATTGTAATATGGTGTGTAACATATTGTATTTTTTTGTATATAATATGCTTACAACCTTGGAATACTAAACATACAGAACGAAGTGAAGGTGATGCAAAAGATCATTATAGGCACAAAAAGAAAAGGACGATGATCATGATGTAATCATGATGTAATCGTGATGTACCTGTCGGCATGATCTGAAGACTCACTTTTTGAAGAACTTCCACCTGAAGGCTGGATGGAAGCTCCACTCTTTCAAGGCGTGACCTCTCTCGTCCATAGTGGAGCTGCTTCACTCCCTGAAGCGCTCCACGGTGCGATGGACCCTCGGTGGAGACCGATGAGAACGCCTTCCATGCGGAGCACCTGAGACTGCGTACCAGTGTGGTCCGGTTTGGTGTCTGGTCTGTGTGGTCCGGTGCCAACTTGAGGTGAACAATGCAAGGATAAGCTGCTAACTGCAGGCATGCTGAGCATACTGCAGCAGGCTAGGCTCTGTAGGCCATGTTCGTGAGTCTTGACGCAGTGTCACATGGTTGACTAATCGGATACTCATCTTCCATCGTTCGAAGGGATTTCTTGAGTTCGTGCCGTTGCAGCTTGAGTTACTAACACAAGCAGTTCTGAATTCTGCAGAGCCTACAGCCTTTCATTACATGTGCGCCAGCAATGTAATGCCTCACCTTGTGAATTCGACAATGATGCGACATTTGTTCAACTAAGAACCCTGCACAATGCTCTTGTAGACATAGGACACCGTGGCAGAATCCTGTGCTTCATCTATGCCATGTTGCCTCAGGGCCATGTTTGGGCAATGCAGACTGATGCCCGAGAATGAGGGCTGCCCGACAAAGAGTACCTTCCAAAGGAACTGTGAAAAACATTGAAACTTAAGGCAGGCTTGAAGGGGCCCGGTAAGGCTCAGTCGGTGCGCTGGGCCTCAAGGTCTCTCGCAAAGTGATGGCCAGGTCGAGCTTTGAGTCCTTCATGCAAAGCACCGGAATAGCTCCAGGCTTGTCTGGGAGTCGAAGGCAAAGTCTTCTGTAAAGCTCCCAGCCAAGCAAATCATCGGGTATTCTCAGGCTGAAGCCATTGCCGTCCACGCCAAGCACTTGCAACTTCAACTCCATCAGCAACGATGTGATCCTGCTGAGCTTCTGCTGAGCTCTTTGGCTCCTTTTGGGCCCTTGAGAAAGGGCGTCCAGTCGGAAAGTGTCAGACAGAAGTGGCTTTGGTGGCACATGACAGTCTAGCACTTCGCAACCTTGCTTGTATAGATTGAGAAGCACATGACCAAACAACACTGCTGTTCCAACCCCACTAGCCATGACTAGCCTGCTCCATGGCATGAATTGAAAGGGCTCAATGAGGTCTGAGAGCCACTCCAAGAGGCAAAGGACCCTAAAACCACTGGACTCAAGCACAAAACTCCTACGTTTCATCTTCATGCACGTCGTCCACCTACCAGACCTACCACCTGGTTGAAAGGGCTCCATCATACTCGTAGGCTTAGACAAGCTACCATGTCTCTCTTGGGTCCACCGATGTCGTGTCCCCTACCTGCCTGGGGCCTGGAGTGGAGGAGCTGGAGTGGCGGCACACACACACACACACTCCAAGAACCATCCTGAATCTTCTTGCACCAGCATGTCTTCCGATCTTCTCCATCTTCCCATATCTTGGCCTTCAGCAAAGAGCATGATCTCTGCAATCAAGGTGTAGTCAGGAACCATCATGGCCACTGGGCGGAACAAAACCTGCACCGGGCTGCGGATTTCCGTGGATTTTGTGGATGTCAAAAGCTTTGCGCAAGCGGATGGAACAGGCGCTTCCGCCGTCGTTTTAGCTCCATGTCACACCTACAAGTGCAGATGATTTGCACGTCTACAGTGACAAAAGCAGGAGGCTCAAAGGTTACAAGGATTGCCCGTCGCTACGAGGAGACCGATTCTTTTGGCACTTTGCTTGTAATGAAGCGGGGATTGCATTAAGTGCTGACGGCCCTGCCTTCAGATTGTCAGGAAGTTCAGTACGTCCAGCATAGCCTGGGTTCCTGCCAAACGTCCGTAATTTGCCGACAAAATATGTCTAAAATCTGTATGTATATATACTATAAAGTAACTATTCGATGAACTCCAACCCTCAATCTCTTGCCAAACGTGGTGCTTCTGGCGTCTCAGACGGCGGGAGCACCGCTCTATGTCTCTTTTTTCAGGTCCCCGAGCATCGTAATGAAGATCCCACAGGTGTTCTTCACCTGAGCAAGCAAATGAGCCGCGGTTCCACCGGGATGAAAAGGGTTGGAAAGGGACTTCTTGGGTTTGTGTCTTGCAGACAAGGGCGAGAAATACATCCAGCAAAATCAAGGGATGTCAGCAGAATGAGAGTAGTTACAGTGTATATATAATTACAGCATGAATGGCAGGATAGTAGGGTTCTGACGGTTGGCAACTCCCCAGTTCTGACAAACGAAAACTAGATCCTCCCGTGTATCATCATGTAGCTGATATGTTGGGGTCCAGAGTGCGCGAGTTTCTGTCCCCACGTGACAATCTGTTGCTCCGTTCAACCTTGTGTGTGGGAGCCAGAGGGATTTGAGGGTGTGCCTGAGCCTGCCTAATTAGAGATGGTACGGAAAAACATAGAAAAACACCGGAAAAGGGCGAGGAATTCCAGCATCAAGAAGACTTTGGGGTGCTGCTTTGGCCTGCAAAAGACCTTGGCCCAGCAAGCTTTTAATACCAGCTTAGGACCTAAATCCAGAATTTCCAGAAAACGAGTGAAGAAGCTTCAACCTCCGCAAACACTGATGTCGACCAACGGATGCTAACTTGGTCGAGCCTTTAACTGTCTTGACTCGAAGACAAACTCCGTCAAGTCCTGGGATGAAAGTCAATCATGTGAAGAACGGCGGCCACCACTTTCACCACCATGCACCGACGGACGAAATTCGGGATCAACTGACGGACTTGTAAGTTAGAGTTAGATCCATGAGTCTGCATGTGTCAGGCCCGTCGGGGGAGCGTTTTCCGGTTTATCCGTCATGACCCACCTGGCTTCGGAGTTCATACTGAGTGTATTGACCCCAAAGCATCCCAAAAAAACATTGGCTGGCCTCAAAGCTGCGACCAATGCCACGCCATGTCATGTCATCATGTGTTCTACTTGTCCCGTCCCTCCACGACCTGCGAAGAAGGTCAGTCCTGTAAGAGTGCCTGACGAATCTCCAACACCTGAAGGCTTGGACGACGACGCTGACATGGACATCTCACCGAGGCTGACATGGACATCTCACCGAGGCTTGTTCTTCCTTTTGGGAAATCCTCTTTGGATGGTTCTTTTCTTTGGAAATCATGTCTTCATATTTGTTGTCCATGGTGGGCAACCGAAACGACTCAGTTCAGGGCCATTCAGGGCCACTGGATCGAAATCGTCTTGGTTTTGCCACGTTTTGGTTTTGCCACCCGGACTCGCTTTCCGCCGAAGAAAGGTCCGCCTGCTGCGCCACCACACTCAGCACTTCGATGGAGATGCGATTGAACTCATCGAGGCATGTCCAGGCACCAGCACTGCACGTCGTGTGTGGAGCTTTAAAAAGCAAAGCAGAGGAGCCAGGCTCGGGTCAATTTTTTGCATAAATGCACTGTGAATCTCTGGAGGCTCGGGTCGATTTGGGTCTAACGTTCGAGCAGTATGCCCTTACCTCGCGAAAACCTTTGTTCAGTCATGCCAGCATGAGTTTTTAAGTTCACCATCACCGTGGCTGTAAATTCTTCGAGGTTCCAACTACTGCGAAGGGGGCAGCAGGCCTTACCACTCCACTGTAAAGCTTGCCCATCATCTGGTAGTTGATCCTCAGCGAAAGAGGCTCTCTCCACTACGTTGTACACTGGGTTGTAAGCTGGTCGACAACGGAAGCCATCTGCAGACTGCTTCAGTGAGCATGTGAGAAGTGTGCGAAGTCCCAAATTGATCATGATTGATCCAAGATGAAAGCATGTACAATCAAACTCCTGCATTCTGTCTTCGCTTCGCGCTTTTAAGATCTTGGCTGATCTGAGCAGTTGAAGACCACGCACTGCCGAGCCAAGCCTTTGGCCAAGTCCTCCGACTTCGCACACCGCGGCCACACCGCACGAACACCGCGGCCGACACCGCACCACGCCCTCGGCATCACGGACCTTGGTGGACTCCGTCTTGCCGGTGCCCGCAGGGCCCGCGGGTGCAGCGCCCAGTTTGATATGCAAGGCCTCGGGATCGTCGCAACGGGCGGGATCGCACATGCCCGGGATCCTTACAATTGGTATTGTTGGAAAAACATGCAATTGTTGGTTGTGGCATCCAAGTTACTGAAAAAAAGCCTTTGGGAATACTGGCTCCTCGGTCTGGGCCTCCAACACCAGTGATGGTCATCCAGCATCGATCCGTCAGTGGCGTGATGACCAAGCGCGATAAGGCACCTCGGTCGGTCGATCTTGGCAGAAGCAAGACGGAGGTCCCGGGTTCGGGCACGGACGGCGAAACGTGTGGAAATTGCTGCACCCAATTCGTCGCCGCACTTCGTCGTGTTCATCGGCACGGACCCAACGGCGGCGCGTGAGTCGTCCACACAGCGTCACCCTTCTTTTGCACGAGTGCATTCCTGGGACAGCTTGCTTCGTTGGGACATCCCATCTGTACGCTGTCTGTACGCGCTGCTCAGAGAGCAGGCTCTTATGACGCACCCCCCGCCGCTTGGGGCAGAGGACAATAGACAAATTGAG